TACACATTATAGATAGGGGCATAAGGAGCCAGTCATCCTGTTCCTAAGTGTGATTTGGTGGTCTGTAGCAGACACCAACTAGTACCCCATCTTGGGCTTTATCTGTTAGGACATGTAACCAGAAGCATTCGAGATCAATTTCTTCTAAGTTGTCTGTGCCCTGGAAACAGGTAATGCCATTTTTGACATAGAGTGCCATTGCGGGTGCCCTTTTGCCCACTCACTCCTTCCTAAATAGGTTAGAACCATTGATTTTAACATTCCCATCACGCGAATCATCCCACCAGGTGTCAGTAATACCAGTTAGATCACATTTATGCTCATAAATGAGCAATTCCAATTCCTTTTGTTTGTTAACCAGGGTCCTAGCATTGGTGTTTCTATCAAGCATTCTTAAAACTACAATACCCACCTGCTGAAGTAAAAAAACAGATTGACAGAGCCAGAAGAGTACCTAGAAGTCACCTACTACAGGACAGGCCCAACAAAGAAAATAAGAGAATGCCACTAGCTGTCACCTTCAGGCCCCAACTAAAACCTCTCCAGCGCATCATCAAAGATCTACAACCTATCCTGAAAAATGATCCCTCACTCTCACAGATCTTGGGAGACAGACCAGTCCTTGCTTGCAAACAGCCCCCCAACCTGAAGCAAATACTCTCCAGCAACCACACAAATAAAACATTAACCCAGGAACCTATCCTTGCAACAAAGCCCGATGCCAACTCTGTCCACATATTTATTCAAGTGACATCATCATAGGACCTAATCACATTAGCCATGCCATCAGGGGCTTGTTCACCTGCACATCTACCAATGGGATATATGCCATCATGTGCCAGCAATGCCCCTCTGCCATTGTACACTGACCAAACCGGACAGTCTCTACGCAAAAGAATAAATTGACACAAATCTGAGATCAGGAATCATAACACTTCAACCTCTCTGGCCACTCAGTAAAAGATTTAAGGGTGGCAATTTTGCAACAGAAAAGCTTCAAAAACAGACTCCAACGAGAAACTGCTGAGCTTGAATTAATATGCAAACTAGATACCATTAACTTGGGTTTGAATAGAGACTGGGAGTGACTTAGTCATTACACATGTTAGAGAGCTTATTCCTTCACTCTCCCACTTCCCTAGTCCTTCTCGCATGAACAGAGAGCAACAATACCCGAAGTCCGAAGGTGCAAACAATTCGATGTTTATTGGGGTGAACTTCCAGCAAGCTTAAATACAAGTTCCTTTTTCCTTATTTTCGAATCCCAACTTACTTCCTGTTTGCCCCTAATTTATATAGTAATATTCTTAGCTATACCTTAACCAATCATTCTACTGAAATTTAACTAACCAATCCTAACATATTGTAACATGATTAGCTAACCAATTATATCCCACCACCTTAATTAGTTTACACCCAGCAAAATTAATTATACAGCAAACAGAAACAATCACAGAACCAGACAGAGACCATGCCAATAAACAATAGCAAAGTGGGAACTATAATGACAAAACAATACAGAAGTGAGGATTTCACAACTACATCTATAAAGACATAAGAGTTTCCCAGCTGTGTCTATTGATAAGTGAGTTCTTACCAGACAGAAAACTATCAACCTTGATTTCCTTTTACATCTTCTAGGCATTTCCCTTTCTCTGGAGGTGATAGGCACTATCAGGACAGGACTGTATTCCTAACAGCCCAATAGCACCTTCTTTCAATGTGACTACTTTGGAATGTGAGGATGTGACCAGTCGCTTCCCAGCTTATGTCTGCCTCTGTCGCTTAGCCAAAGGCCTTAGCCTAAGAACAGGGCCTCAGACTGTCACAGTAAGAGAAGGACCTTACACTGGCAGACAGTGATTTTGATTCTTTCTTTTATACCTCTAACTAGCCAAGTGATAAGAATACACCTAAATTCTTAAAGTACAGGCCTTTGCAGACAGGCCTGAATATCTATATCCTAACACTACATATTGAATCTATTTCTTAAAGTTAAGTATCCTCACACCTTCTTGTCAACTGTCTAAATGGGCCATCTTTGATTAAAACAAAAGGTTTTTTCCCCTGCTGATAATAGCTCATCTTAACTAATTAGCCTCTCACAGTTTGTATGGCAACTTCCAACTTATCTGTATATATATATCTATATCTATAGATATATCTTCTTACTATATGTTCTATTCTATGCATCCGATGAAGTGGGCTGTAGCCCACGAAAGCTTATGTTCCACCCCCCACTGTTCCTCAGACATTCTTGTCAACTGCTGGAAATGGCCCACCTTGATTATCACTACAAAAGGTCGTCCGTCCGTCGTCCCAGCCCCTCCCCCCGCTCTCCTGCTGGTAATAGCTCACCTTAAGTGATTACTCTCTTGTTACAGTGTGTATGGTAACACCCATTGTTTCATGTTCTCTGTGTATATAAATCTCCCCACTGTATTTTCCACTGAATGCATCCGATGAAGTGAGCTGTAGCTCACGAAAGCTTATGCTCAAATAAATTTGTTAGTCTCTAAGGTGCCGCAAGTCCTCCTTTTCTTTTTTCTAATAAATTTGTTAGTCTCTAAGGTGCCACAAGTACTCCTGTTCTTTTTGCAGATACAGACTAACACGGCTGATATTCTGAAACCTTGATTAATTTTGTTCTCAACATCTCAATTTTGTGGTGAGTGCTCATATCTTCTCTCTTTTTACCGTTCCCTTTTGTTATTAGTTGAAATCCCTCCTGACTACTCTAGCCAGCTTGTGCCAGAGAAGACACACTATACAACCCCCTTTTCCCACAAAAGGTGGACCAACCAATGTTCCACAAAACCAAAACCCTCCACCCTGCACCACTTATGTAGCTAGAGGTTCACTTCTGTCTTCCTTTGCTCATGGGACAGGAATGATTACAGAGAAGATCATCTGGACATTCATCTTCAGCACTCTTCTGAGTTCCATTAAATCATCTACTATCTGAGAGATATCCTGCAACACATTGTCATTGATGCCAACGTGAACCATCATCAATGGATCCTTTCCTGTCAACTTCAAAAGGCCATCCAATCTTGGAGTAATGTCTCAGGACTTGGCTTTGGGAAGACAGCACACCATTCTGATGTCCACCTGCCCCTTGAAGAATGTTCTTTCAATTCTTCTGAGTACTGAATCCCCAACAAAGATCATCTGTCTTCTTTGGACAGCTGTAGAACCCTGTGGGAAAGCTTGATTTTCTTATAGGTTGGCGCAAGCTGACATCAAGAGGTGTGTCCTGTACAACTCACCATTCCCTTGCACCAGCAGGATTTTGTTTCCAAACTGAGGACCTGTTATTGAATGGAAACTACTGGCTGTGTGGAATTCTTCCTAGCCCTCTTCTCTCTGATGGCCACAGCCTGACCATCCTCGTCTATCTCCATCCATGTAGGATGCTTCCATGATCTCTTGCAGCCTGGTGGTTTGTAACGACCAGAAGCATCTTGGACTTCCTTTCTGATTCCTTGGTGGCCAACTCTGTTCTTCCTTGAATCTGGGGTACCAATGTTTTCTGAACCTGACTGTCTAGGAATGCCTCAGCTTCTCAATACTATCTTTATTTGCCCCTCCAATCCTGAAGCATGGCCACCAATTTGCATTTCATGAACAGGAAGTCGCTTCTGGCAGTAAAGAAAAATGATACATCCATTACAGGTCACCATCAATGTTCATTGCTGGCCATCTTGAAATTGCATGCAGAACTAAATCTGGAAGAAAACCTCTCACAATCTTTCTCTTAACTCCCTCTGATACTTTCCTATTAGTTGCCCTCTGTTCAGGGCTCTTGAGTTTGCCTAGCAAGTGACCAAGTCTCCATGCTCAGCTCAGTTCAACTCTGCCCCTCATCACCAGGGAGCGATTAATCACTCAGAGACTTCAAACAGCTATGCTGATCAAAGCTCCAAGGGTTAGAACCTCATGGCCTTTACCAACGCACCAACAAACAGATCCATTTCAGCTGCTTACTCAGGTACCTATTGCCCAGCTGTGTAGTCCCTACCCAGAGAGCAAACAGTCAAAGAACCCACAGCCAGATCAAATGCACGACTCATCAAGTTCTGCTGCCTCCAAGCACAGACTCCACAGCTATAGCCTCCCAACTCCTGTTAGCTGCCTCTGTTCTGATGACAGTTAACACCCTAACAGTCTGGTGTATTAAAGTGTCAGGGTGGTTTATTTGTGTCACACTTTCCATGCTTAATGAACACTCACATGAGGTACGTTTGACAGAAAAGGTGGCTGGGGACAGGTGGGTATGAGAGGAGTCCCAACTTGGGATCCCCTCCCACAGCAGCTGGTAAATGTGACTGGGTGGACAGCACATAGGTACAAATGAAATGGAAGCAGTTTTGCTAAGGAACCCTTCCCGGAGCAGATTGGAAACAGGAAGGGGGGCAGACAGCTGTGCCTGTGTGTTTTATTCAGAAAACCACTCCCCAGTGGAGCAGATGGGAAATGTGAATAGGGCACAGGGGTCTGTGCGATCTTTCTCAGGACACCCCACTGGAGCAGAGGAAAGTGTATCTGGGACGGGAGCGAAGTCCCCACTCTCATGTTCTAGGCTTGGACTCCCTGGAGGCACCAAGCACGTGCCCCTTCACCTCGACAGGCGGCCGTTATGGCGGTTGGGAATCCAGCGCAGCAGCACGAGCGTTCGACAGCTGAGACTTGAAACACCCGCTCCCTTCCCGCGCGGCATGTCCCGCCCCGCCAATCAGCGACCGAGCTGACGTACAGAACGTGCACGCCCCCTCCGCCCTGTCCGTGTGGCGGTTGCAGCCCTCTCACGAGGAACAAGGATTAACCCGCAGTTAGCGGTAGCTCCTTTGGGGGCAGCTGAGGAACCCGGGTGCTACTAACCACTGCTCCCACCCAGCCCAGGGCACCGTGGGGCACAGTGCGTTGGCCCGGCCGTGCAGCAACAAAGCCCGCCCCCCATTGCCACCCCTGATGCCCCAAGCCGCCTCCTCCCTGCTTACCACGTATCCCCCCCACACATAGAGAAAGTTCCCGTCCACCACGGCGCAGTGGCCACTCCGTTCCTCGGCCACGCAGAACTGCTGAGAAGGAGGTGGACCCGCCGCCATCTTATGAAGGGGGGAAGGGAGGCGTCTGCCGCAACGACCGCGACTCGCCACCCCCTTCTGGAGCGCCACCTGCTCTCCGCCGCTCGGTCACCCTCCGGCGGACGGGAAGCGGAGAGGGTCCAAAGTATGGGGAGTAGCGGAACGAGCAGCACAGCAGCGCCTCCGCTCCTCCCGCTCCAAATCAGGCGCTCACGTGGGAGGAAGTGGGGGGGGCTGCGGGATCAGCGAGGCGACTCGGGGCCAGGTGTCCGGTTCTGTGGCTCAGCTCCTTCCGTCTGCTTCAAAAAAGAAAGTGGGCCGCTCACTGGTAGCAGGTCGAAGTGGGTGCAGTTTGCACCTCATGTAGAGGGTGCAGGGCCCCTTGCTGTGCTGGTTTGCTCCCCCTTTCCGACAAAATAAGAACCGTCTCATGCTTTTGCTGTAGCCCGTCAAGATGAGGGGCCCCTCTTTCGTGGGGGGCATTATCGCCCCCATCCCGGGGCAGCAGGACCTCGGGCACCCAACACCCAGGCCCGCTGGCTTTGAAATTGAACAAGTGATCACATGGGGTTGCGGGGCATGTGCACCAGGGGTCTGTCTATATTACAAAATGTTACTGCGCTTCAACATGTTAGTGAATGGCCCATTTAAGATGATGCTGACCTAGTCTGTGCTGACTGTTAAACTGTGGTCAGTGACCTTATGTCATCCAGCGTGGGTCAAACACAATAGGAACTGTTGTACTGTATTGGGTCAGACCCCTAATCAATCTCATCCATTATTGTCCTGCCTCTGAGGGTGGCCAACATCAAATGGTTTCAGAGAAAGGTGCAAGAAACCCCACAGTGGGCAGATATGGGATAATCCCTGCCCGTTATAGTTTTAGCCTACTCCTTATTAGAGACTGGTTTAAACGCCAACGTTTATAACCTTGCAAATACCATTATGGAATGTAGACAGACCCCGCGGAACAGTAAAAGCCTGTGGGGCACAAGATCTGGAAAGAATCATTTAAACCCCTTGACTTGCATAATGTCAGGTTTCACAGTAGCAGCTCTGTTAGTCTGTATTCGCAGAAAGAAAAGGAGGACTTGTGGCACCCTAGAGACTAACCAGTTTGTTCGTCTCTAAGGTGCCACAAGTCCTCCTTTTCTTTAAACCCCTTGGAAACTTTAGAGGACATCTGGGGATGCCCCAGCAACTTCATGCTTCCCCCACTCCCACGGCTCAGTGTCACAGATGATGTGTAGGAGTCCCCCCCTCCCAGAATAGGACCAAGGCCTGGGTCTGCCGCTGCTACTGGGAATGGAGGCGATTGTGAGACAGCTCTCCCGCATGACCCCCCCTACAAGCGCTGCCCTGCCCGCTCCACCCGAGCTAACCAACGCCCGCCGCCGGCCCCAGCTGAGGTGAGCTTGGAGCAAAGCTTGAGAGCCGCTCGCCGAAGAGGACGCGCGCCCTTGCGCCCGCCGCCCCGCCCCATTGGCCGGGGACAGGCCCGGGACAGCCCCTAGAGGCGGGACCGGCGGCCGGTGGCGCCAACGGTTCAAGATGGCTGCCGAGAAGCTGAGGAGCAAAGTGGGCTCTGCCTTCAAGATGCACGGGTTGCTGCTCCGAGCGTGAGTAGCCGGCTGGCTCGGGGCCTGCTCTCCGCCCGCAGCCGGGCCCGGGGTGGCGCAGAGCGGGCGGGGAGAGTGGCAATGTCACACGAACCCGGGCAGAGAGGCGGGGACATGCAGCGCCCCCTTCCCCTGCCCGGGGGAGCGGCTGACAAGTGCCACTCCGCCCCGCTCCCGTCCCGTCCCAAGGCGGCGGCGGAGGGGGGAAGCAGCTGCCATCCTATTCCTCCTCCGGACCCTGGCCCTCCCGCGAGTGACCCACCGTCCTCCATCACCAGTGGGAGACACTGATACTCAAAACATACTCCTGAGTGGTGCTCCGAGTCCGCGAGAACGGGCCCGTATAAGAGTCTGGGGAGGTGGGAAATCCTTCCCTCCAGGCGAGAGACAGCAGCAATCAGGCAGGTTAATGTGCAATGTCTCTTCTGCCCAGTAATGAGAATACTTGGTATGAAATCTGTGGAAGTCCGGAGCCTAAATACCTGTGAGGATCTGGGCCTTAATCCCCTCTCTTAGTGTTTTACTAGAACAGAATTAAAACTCTTCCTGCTAGTGGTTGAAGGAATCCTTTGTCATTTTAAATACTGTCTTCAGAAAGTAAGTCCAGCTATCACTCCCCAGACACGCTTTGGGTGTCGGAGCTTTATAATATCTGGTGTCACTTCTGTTCCTGCAACCCAGCTGGCAGGCTTTTATTTCTCTTGCACTTAGAAGTATTTTAACAGAAATAATAGAGTACCCAGCTGGCAGGCTTACTAAATAAAAGCCTTGAGAATAGGAGTAGGTTCTTGTTACAGATTAGAGTTCATCATAAACTTTGTGTATGAAATTTATGACCTGTGATCTCCCTTTACGTGAGTATAAAACATATTAACTACTATGGTTTAAATCTCAAATAATTAGGCCCTACAGATATTTAGGCACATGCTTAGTTTGCGCACTATGAGTAGTCAAAGTGCATAAAGTCAATCACGTACCTAAGTTTTTTCAGAATTGGGGCCTATGATTGCAAAGGAAATGAGTTTATTTTCAAGTAGGTTCCTCATGGAAATTAACATGGCTTTGTAGAGCATTCTGTGCATCTCAACACCATTGGCAGCCTGATTTGACGGCAGGCCTAGGGTTAGTCTAGAAAGAATCTAAGATTATGTCTACACTATGCACCTTTTAGCAACACAGCTGTGCTGCTAAAAGGCGTGCAGTGTAGCTGCTGTCTGTTGGCAGGACAGAGCTCTCCCACTGACAAAAAAAAACTTCCACCCCCAACGAGCGGCAGTAGCTTTTTTGGCAGGAGAGCTCTCCCGCTGACAAAGCACTGTTCACATCTGCGCTTTTCGTCAGCAAACTTTTGTCGTTCGGGGTGTGTGTGTTTTTTTTCAACGCCCTGAACTACAATAGTTTTGAACGTTCAGGTTCCAGTGTAGACAAAGCCTAACAGGAGGCTTGCCCCCAACCACTAATATCCTCATTTCAGTTCTCCATTATTCACTGATAATATGATTCTGTTGCTCATATTTTTTCCTCTAGAGAACTTAATACAATAGTGATTCTCTTTTTCTTTTGGCTTGAACAGGGGGTTCAATTATGCAGGGCATTATTTTTTTTTTTTAATTTTTAAAAACAATTATTTTGGACAGTGTCCTACAGTCCTACATTACTGAAATCTCTGAGGATTCTAAGTTTAGAACTCCTGGTACCCAGGGGTTAAATGTGAAATATTTTGAAGTTCAGACTGTTGACCAAAATGTCATTTTTGATCAACAGTTAGATGACATTTATCACAGAATTGCTTTTCTTTAAATACTGGCCTTTACTTTGAGTTTTAGGGAAGCACTATAGATGAAAAAAATTATTTTAAGTGGAATTTTGTATAGCTTTTAAAAATAATCTCTTAAATTGATTTTTTCCCCCTTTCTATTGCAAAATAGTAGGTATACTGGCAGTGTAAGTCATCTGACAGCCCTGTCTATAGATACACATCTTCAAACTACTCTGTCACATTTTTTTTGTAAGAAGAGAGCTTCTATTCTTCCTTTTCAGTGCTTCCTTCAGATGAGTGGGAACTCCAGAACTGTGGGAGCGAGTAGGTGGTATTTTGAATATAATAATTTGAGTTTCTGGTCCAAGTGGAAGGAATATTTTTCCCTGTGTTTTCTCTCCTTTCTTCCTTCATTCCCTTCCCTTTTATATGTCTATCTTCTCTCCATTTTATTTTTAATGTTTCCATGGATAGTATTCAGAGCATCATACTTCACTGTGTCAAGATAATAAGAGTCTCCCCAAGATGATGAGGTCTCTAGAATAGATCAAACTTTGTCTTGCCTTCTCCTTAAAAACCCACATAGTAAGGTAGGACATTGGATTGTACAGTGAACATCCTGCCTGGAGGATCTGTTGAGATCACCAAGGCCTGCTGCTTTATACTTAATTATTCTATTCTTGGGACTTTTTAATTTCCGAGCATATTTGATTTAAATGGGATCAGGATAATTATTTCTATGCTCCTTCTCGCTAATAACCACAAGCCTTACAGCAGTTGTGTGTGCACGTGTCAATATTATAATAGTGGACATAAAGCGTATATTTTATTTATTGAATATTAATTTCTTATCTTGGCTAACTTATTTTTTCATTCCAATTAGTGAAGCTAATAAATATCTTACTGAAGCTCTTCAGTCTGTCAATGAATTAGAGCTTGAAGATGTAATAGAAAACATCATTGATGCTGTTGAAAAACAGCCTTGTAAGTAACATTTTTTTTGTAAACCTTCTAAATTAATCCTGCCTTTATAATGTTATCTGTAAAAAGAAAAACCTACTGACAGCTCACTAAGGTGTTCGTTCTAGTGAAGCTGTTTGAACATAGATGCATGTTACATATATTTACTGTTGACTTCCTGTTTTGCTAAATATTAAGGTTTATCACTTCATCAAAAACCAGTGTAATTTTGCCACTTCAGAAGTCTGGCAGCCCTGCTTCTCCTGACTGTCCAGACTGTGTTAACCTATTTGAATAATAATGTGAACCTGAATTAAAAGCTTCTGGAACAATGAACCTGCAGTATATGAAGCTTCTGTAGGCTATTTTGGCAGGCTTACAGGGATTAACTATAATACTCTTGTTCTAAATTCTGAGTTAACTACAGATACAGTACGAAGATTTGTGTAGAGATGTCGTTTTCTGGCAAATATATTTAATGAACTGCCTTTAGAAATTTGCCATAGAAAATTTAGGGTACCATATGTCATTTGCTGAAAATATAATGATTTGTAAAGAATATTTAAGAGACACTTTGAAGGAGGATATTGAATCATTTTTGTAAAATATTTGAAACATATTTAATTTAATACTTGTCATTTTCCATAGGCTATAGTTTTAATCTTATGAAACGTTCTTTTCAGTGTCATCTAATATGATTGAACGAGCCACAGTGGAAGCCGCAGTCCAGGAATGTAGCCAGTCATTAGATGAAACTATGTATGGTGATACAAATTTATTTTTATTTGAAATTTATGGCTAGATAGTGTGCATTCACTGATTTCTTCTTAGGGAGTAAATGTCCGATGTTTTCTGCAATGCTAATCATACAGTAATTGCTCTGTGTTTTTTGTCTCCTGATATTTAATTTAAAACTGAGTAATCTTCTTTCTTAGGAAATTTGCTTCACAAGTATAGACCTGTAGGGATTGTGATATGGTTCTAACATTCTTAAATTAAAATGCTATGGCTTTGTGTTACACATATTATATACTGAATATCAGCCAAAAAAATAGAAATAAATATTTTTGAGAATGAACTTTATTTTTGTGCATTTTCAGTTGGACTTTCTCTTTTCCATTATTACTCATCAATATCTTATTATTCTTCTGCATTTCTAAGATATCTTTTGTTCTTGAAACATTTCATGATGCTCTTTTCTACTCTTTGCTTTTACTAAACTGTTACTGAATTTTGAAAACTGACCCATTGTTGGGGCTGCTGAGGGTATTATGTGTGTGTGATATACACACACACATAGATAATATGAAAGGATGTATTTAAAATTGTGTTTATTGGGATTATAATACAAACTGACTAAAGCAGATAAATGATTAAGAAAGTCAATAAGGTGGTGCAACCCTATAGTTCCCAGGTATGAGGTTATATCCCCACCTGACTTGGAATACTTTCTTTTTTGCCAGTTTGTTAGAACTGTAACAACATAAGTAGTTTTTTCACATAGTTGCTCTCACATATTTAGGTCTCAATCCTGAAGAGAAATCTGTGTGGGTAGATCCTAGTGCAGAGTACCTCTGAAGTCAATAGAGCTCTGTGGACCAAAGAGTCTCCCTTCCTGTATCTCTTGAATTCTGTTGTGATAAACTCAAAGACAAAGCATCCGTCAGAGAGCCATGTTGTTCCATAACGAAGGCATTTTCTCCCTTAGGCAATGATGGATGTTTTCTGCCTGTAAGCTTCAATACGTCCTGACATTACAAATCAATGCTGTAATTTTTATCAACTCTGAAGCTGTTACAATTATAATAAAAGGATTAAAACTTAGATTAATTGTTGGAAGGGAATCAACAATAAATTCAGTGGCATACAACCCTTCCATGAAATGGTATGAAAAGGAGCATGCATACGTAGTAGCCACTTTTTAAAAATTATCTTGACCCGTACCAAAGCTATTTTATTTCAAACTAGGTACCAGTGCATATTAATAAATAATCTTGACAAATTCTGTTTAAAAATTTGGCAATTTTTGTTAAAGAAAGAAAGAGGAGCACATAATTTATTTTCTCTTTAATTTCCATACAGAATTAAAAAACAATACTTTCCGTAAATGAGATGCAGATACAACGGTCAGAGGTGCGGGGAGGGAACTGGAAGGGAAAAGAATGAAAGAGTTAACAAAAGGGGTGTGTTGACATTCTTTTACTCAAAACGAGGTTTCTGTGGAGCACTGAAGTTAGCTGTTTCCTTGAAATAGTTCTTTTCTCAAATAAAGCTTTAAATCTATTGTGGTTTCAGAGAACACATTTTCAATATTATCGGGGCCTTTGATGTTCCACGTTATGTTTATAATTCAGAAAGGAAGAAGTTTCTACCGTAAGTCTTCCCATTTCTTAAGTCTCAGCTGCTATTTTTATGACATTACTAATTGTCCATGTATCAAAGCCTTTATTATTGTATGGTTAAAATTTGCTATCTACGAACTTTCATTCTTGGATTGTGTGCTGGTCTCAAGATGGATGATATGTGATTCAAGAGTGAGTATGTTGTGGGCACACTGCCTTTAGGAAACTGATTATAACAAACTGTTTTTGAGAGAGAGGGGGTTGGTTTTTTTTTGTTAAATAGGGTTTACAACTTCTATACAAAATTAGTTGAACTCATTAGGTTACTCTGTTTTAAGGTCATGGTAAATAATGACAGGTAAATATATTTACATCTGGGCCATGGGTCAAGACTTTCTCTTTCAGTAGCATGGAGTGAGAATAGGTAATCTTTGTCCTGTGATGATTGGTACAATATATGCAGTACTGCTGGTGATGATAGTGGCCCTAAGTTGTATGTATTTGTCTATCAGTTCTTTGGTTTGAACATTTTGTTATATGGTATTTGATGAGGGACAGAAAAAGTCCATATAGCACTTGATCCATCCCTTTCGATGAGATGGCATTCATGCCTCACAAAGTGTGTGTGTTTTTTTTCCTATTTGTCTGATTTTGTAGTAAACGCTATAGACAAGTTGCTTATGTTGCAGCACACAGTAATCTATGTGTGAAGGAATTTACACCTATTTTCCTTTAGAGTAGAATCCTTTCTTAACTTTTGTTCATGATTCTGCTGGCCTATCTAAAGCATCCTGCAAGGTTGCTGTAGATTTTTCATTCTGAATCCCACTCTATAGCTTCCAAGGTTGGCAGGAGCTGGGAGTTCTGTGAAGATATGCTGCTAAGCCAGAACAAGGATAATATCTTTATTCATTTAAGAAACAGAGTTGTGTCCAGTGCTGCTCAGCTGGAAAGATGTGACAAAGATGTGACAAACTCCTCTGGTGTTAAAGGGGACAAAATGAATGTAATCTTCCGTATACATAAATACATGGGATTCCTAGCAGAAAACTCCTTCACTGACCAAATAAAATACGCAATGGCGTTGAAGACTTTGTAGCTTCCTACTTATATAGAGATTTAGATTAAAGTATCATTGGGTCTTTGTTTTCTAAAAATAAACAAATAAATAAATCATGACTAACTTTCTTCCAGTCTATCAATGACCAACCATCCTGCACCAAATTTATTTGGAACTGCCAGGGATAAAGCAGAGTTGTTTCGTGAACGCTACACCATCTTGCAGCAGGTGAGTGAAAGAAAGGTTTTGGTTTGTTTAATGCTATCATCTCATGTTCTGAGAGAGACATATATGTATAGTAAGGCATTTATAGTTGAGCAGCTAGTGTGAGCCACAGTTGTAAACTTATAAAATCAGGATATGTTACAGATTGAATTGACTATCCTTTGAAATTATATGGCATTATGGATTCTGATGTATCTGTTATCATGTTTGAAAGGTGATCTGTGAATAACATTAAGAATCACACACCAACTTTTGAACTATATGCTGAATGCACCAAACAGATTCTATTTTAGCCTTAAAATTTAAGGTCCACTGAAACTGTGGACTACCAGCTACTGCTTCAAGTGATGCTGCAGGCAGTGCCGCACTGGCAACATCACATGCATAATGGAAACTGCTAGAGTTTGGAGATGTTGCGGGAGGAGGGATTAGGGAGGGAAGTGGAGATGGAATTTATTTCTTAATTGATGTATATTGCACAGGTTTGGAAAGGCTTTTCTATTAATAGTCTTACTATGTACCTTGTGGGTACAATAAAAACTTTGCAAATGAGTAGCATGCACCAAACTTTTCTCTGACTTTTTTTTTAATAGAAACCATTAAAAATTTAAAAGAACTAAATGTTCATTTTTTAAAAAAATGTATGTTTGTGAGGGAGGAATGTGTGTGACTCTTTAATTCTCACGTAGGCTGGCTCCGTGCTTCACTAAGTGTAGTGTCATTACTATAGTGTGGGCTGGGACTCTGGCAAGTTGAAAGACCAAAAAACCCATACTTTCTTTAATATTTGAGGCACCTTGTTTGCTAAGATATTTTATTTAGTCATCTTTTCATTTAGAAAATGTACTATTCCAGGCTCCGGCTTTCTTCCTTTGGATGGAGAATCTCCTCACAGCCATCCATACTTTTGTCATTGCCTGGTTAGATTTGTGTTATGTGCTCTATTGGGAGCTACCCTAGAAGACCACTTGGAAGCTTTAGTTGGTGCAGATGCAGCCATCTGTCTGATTAGTAGAATTTGTTGGTGTGAGCACATGATCTCTGGGTTCCATGAAGTGTACTAGGTGCAATTCAAGGTGTTGGTTCTGATCTGTGAAGTTCCAGGTCATGTGGAATCTGATTACCATAGATGCCTCCTCTTTTCCTATGCAATATCATGGTATCTGTAATAAACTGAGGCACTTCTTCTGAGAGTTTGAGATGTGCATTCCTGATTGCTGGAAGCAGGGCATTTTCAATAGAGGGGGCTTTGGCTATGGAACTCACTCTTTTTGGTTTTCCAGAAGGCTGTTTTATTTTAATTTTAAAATAGAGGTGCCAGTCACATTTTGTTTTGGTCAGGGATTTATTAGCCTGTGGATCTTGTTGGGTTATTGCTTGTGCTATGCTGGGATGGTATGGGGTTGGAGCAGTTTGAGTTGCTGATTGGGGTTCAGTTTTATTTGTTGTTGCATTTATTTTTGAGTCAGGTGTTCAAGTGCCATGTTAGTGGGTGCATAAAAGTCATTAAAAGAAACAAAACCATTGTAAAGCTGAAAACTTTTCTTCATTCTCTTCGCCATTCACTTTTAAAATATTGCCTGGTAAACGTAGGCACTGTCGTTCAAAGATTAATGCAGGAGCTTAACTTTTTAGATTGTAAGATCTTTAGGGCAGGGACTGCCTCTTCGCTACATGTTTGTATACAGCACTTCGTACAATGGGTCCCTCACTGAGACCTCTTCCCTGCCTAGACACCAATGTTGTTATAAATAATATATAACAAGACCTCTTTCATGGCTTTAAAAAGTTACCTCTTAAACTTCTGTTTTATTGCCAGGTGGTATTTATGGTTTATTATTTGGACGTAAATTCTTGTTAAAAATATTGTGGTTTCCAAATCAAAAGATGTTGGCTGAAACTGAATAAGAGAATTTTAAAATAGCATTTCATATAGTGTGTATGTAGTGAGTCGTCTTTTCTTTTTTTGTGGTGGTGGTGGTGGTGATCATTTTTAACCAGATCACATTAATCTCGATTTTTCTAGAGGACTCATAGGCATGAGTTGTTTACTCCTTCAGCGATTGGTGCTCATCCTGATGACAGCAGGAGTAAATTCCAGGTAAAAATATTGGTATTTTCTTGGGGTGGGGGAGAAGTGTATGCTCAGTGTGGTTTAGTTAATTAATATTTCCCTACTTGATACCCAAGTGTTAATCCTGACTTTCGTAACCAGTGAACATGAGATATTTGCTATTGTCTTAGTCTCTTTCTACATCACAAAATCCTTGTATCTGGCACAATTCAGCATAATTAGTGGGCTGCTCAAAAACAGCTTTTAACTGGAAGAGAAGAGGTCTGGCTGAGGTGCATTGGCAGAGAACCCTCCCACACTGACTCCATTAAGCTTGAGATATTTTCCCCATCCCTCACTTTCATAAGCACTAAATTCACAAATTTAGAGCTAATAAAGTCATCAGCCTACTGCTAATAAGCTCTCTCTTTTTCTGTATCCTTATTTGTGCTGTGAGTTGGGAGCTTCAGGTACCAAATGGTAGCCTTTCAGTTATCCACTGTCCTGACCCTTCCTTTATTTCCATATCCAAAGCACTGCAAGGGCTTTGAAAGAGCAAAATAAATAGATCTAAATTGAGTTGGAATAAATCCCTCTTAATTCTATACTAGCATATTACTTTCTTGACTGCTATGTCTCCCCCCTGTCACTAGGAGCGTGCATAATGCATATGCTGACACTAAGAAGGTTGCTTCTTCTGATTAGAGTATAATGCCAATCTGTGACCCAATAAAATATGGTTTCTTGGTAGTGATATAGACTGCACCTTCCTTGCACAGGACTTTTGGTATCAGCTGCATCACATTTCCAGAACTCTGGAGACCCAGCTGTTGTCTTGAGTCCTTCTAACCATTCCTCTTAGTTTAAAAGCGACTGATGTTACCAAATGACTTGTGGGCTAGCTCTGTGGTTCAAATTCTGTTCTGCTGATAAATGTATGTTACTATCATTGACAAAATGTATTCCAGGGCCAAAATTTGGCCCGTATGTTTAATTTTAATCCATTTGTAAATTAAACTTATCATATTTTTGCCATTTTTGTTTCCCCCACTGAACAATTTTAAGCTAGTAGCCATTATTATCAACTTTTTCCCCCTATACACAGGTGCATATGACACATAAATATATCCTCAAGTTTCCAGTAAAACTGAATCATATTGTAACTAATTTATGTATATAAACTATATCATGTACTGTGCGGTACTTAACTTGCTTACTTAAGAACAGATTTATAGAAGGTGTAATTTAAATCTCACCTAGTTCACTCTTTGATTCCAGCTTAAAACAATAGAAACACTGTTGGGCAATACAGCTAAAGTTGGGGAAGTGATTGTTCTTGGGATGATAACACAGCTAAAAGAGGTAGGATACATTTTATTGTGGGGTCTTTTAGTTGTCATGCTTTCAGCAATACAATATTTTTAAAAATTATATGGCTTAAATATCTCAGTTATGGTCTGATCCTCCATCTATTTAAGTCAATGGCAAAACCCCCATTGACTTAAATGTTGCAGGAACAGTCTTTTATACGGAACACTTTCTTAGGAACAGTCAATAACTTATACATAAGGGATCTGCATTTTTCTCTTCAAAGGACAGAATTTTGTAGAACTTCAACTTCCTGTAAATCTGGACTGTTAGACAGTTTCTAGAGAGTTCCAACTTCAATCACTGAAATCCTGAAATGTTATGTCTGAACTTGCCAGTGCATTTTTATATACCTCTTGCAATAAAGAAGGATATAAAAATCAAAACAACTTCTGCAGTTAAAGGATGAAATTGTAAAATTTAAACATCTGACATGATTTTTCTTTAATAAGTGTATCAAATGCTTTCCCTTTATATGCCCTGACACTTGTTAAAAATTAAGATTGAAGCCAAAAATATGCAGTGTGCCTAATGATGATCTGGTTCTATCACTGATGTAAGTTGTTAGCTAAAATCAGAGGTGGTTAGGTTGAGGTTGGTTTTAGAAATTGGTTTGTTTGGCATGGACCAGCACAATGAAAATCAAAATTGTTTTTGTTATGAAGAAGCCAGCAATAGGTCCTTTTGGTGCCTGAGTAATCCGTTCTGTAAGAATGGTTTGGGAGTTTGTGTGACATCTCCGTTGTCCAAAAATCCAGCAAAGGGTGATCGCCACTGGAGTCATGAATTCTCTGAACCAGTTTCTAAGGATAAGTAGGTACTAACAATATAGGAACAAGGGTTAACCCATTTTCCCATAATGTCTTCCCCAGTATGCAGCCACATGCAGTGCTTGCTGGAGATGGGAAATGGAGATGCTTTTACCCTGTTGTCAGCTCTGATTTGGGGGTCAAAAGGGTCCCTGATCATAGTGTGGGCTCTGTATTGCTTCTCTCTGGAGTGTGATAGCACAATCTCTGTTGATCTAGAGGTATACATTGTTTTGATATGCTTTTGATTTTTTTTTTTTTTTTTTAACTTTTAGGGGAAATTTTTCTTGGAAGATCCTACAGGAGTTGTTCAGCTAGACCTTAGTAAAGCAATATCCTTTTTGAGAATCTTAAGGATTTAAGAGGTTTTCAGAAAAATTACTGTAGAACTGCATCATTTCACACTTTAAAAAGGCGAACGATTACATTTTAAAAGTACACATAGACAACTGCAGATCTCCACTTTTTTCCATGCTAATAACTGAGTTTGCCTCAGCTCAAAGACACAAAAAGGGCTTGTTGTAATGGAGATAGGCTTGTTGCAGTGGGGTTTGTATTCTGCCTCTTGGAAACCTGTCTGGAGTTGGGGGATGTTCCTGTTCAACATGCTATCCATCCAGCCAACTACCAGGTTGATCACCTTACTCTCACTCAGCGTGTAATGCATTTACACTGCCACCAACCAGCCTTACTACACCACCTGTAAAATAGATTTTAAAGGAATTTCTTTCAGTATCCCCATCTAACAAGAACATTGTCCTTAACAGCTTTGCACCAGTTCCACAGTGGCCTATATACTGAATCATGCTTTGTTTTGGCAGAAGGTAAAACAAAATTTTTTGCTAACTTTTAAAATGTTATCCTTTCTCTTCGGACCATTATTGTAACAATATACCCTCTTGAGGTGGATAAAGAAGCAAATGATTTAAGTCAGTATTTATGCTACTGAGGTTTGTCTGTGAACTGAGTGTGTGATTGAAACTCTTGCCCCTGAGCTTGGATCTTTCACAGCCAATCGCTGTCTTATGGGTTTCATCCCTGAGAGGTTCTGAGTACTCTTTTTCCAGTGAAATCAGTGGGACCCAACAGTGCTTAGCACCTCTCAAGATTGGGTGTTCAGTTTGTGTGGACAGAATGTGCATGAAGAAAAATATAATTAAACTAGGGAGAGGAAACAGTGGCAACATCGGTGTGGGACTAGAAAATAATTTAATGAGGCAAATACATTATTTTCAGATTGCGAAATGTTTTATCTTGTTAGTAAGGCGCTAACCCTGCAAACACTATGATGGGACTACACACAGTAGTAAATTTGAGTACATGTGTCTAAGTGCAGAATTGGGGCTTTTAGTGTCTATGTTGGCATAAGTTCAGGTGGACAATTTTTCTTATTGTTAGCACTTTATTTTATAATATATAAATAATTCCAACATGCATAATATAATATAATCTACATAATATGAACAATTTCTTGTTTTATGGTAATACATAATGTTTTAAAGATTTCATAATTAACTAAATGAAAAATAAATAAGAAAGGATGGAAGTAGTGTCATTTTCATATTTTTCCGCTTTTGCTTTTTATAAAATTGGAACAATGTTAGTATAAAATACAGCGTTAAAGATATGTTCAATTTACTAAAATGTATTTCTGTGGGGTGGGGATTAAATTTCCTAGGCTGGTATGAGGATCAAGTATTCCACGTGAATGCTTTTGGATTTCCACCCACTGAGCCTTCTGCTACCACTAGGTATAAAAATGACTTAATTCTGTCTTCTCATATTTTGTTACACCATTCAAAGTACTACTATTGTTTGTTATTTGTAGAACATCAACGATGTGCTTTCCTTTCTTAAAAACGTTGCATTGACTTTTATATCTTGCTGATCCGCTTGAGCCTGATGGAAACCCCACTGTGTCAGTGGAAAGTGTCCCAGTGGTTAACGGGCATGGAGATAGGGAAACTACTGCATGGGAATGAGGAAATGGGATGCAAGGATTGCTGCGAGGATGAATGTGAAAGAGAACCCAGGACCAAGACACCAGTGAGAACGTGTTGAAGTTTAGCAAGTCAAAGCCCATGCTTAATGTCTGGATGACTGCTTTTTCTGTCTTCACCCCTCTTCGACCCCCCCATCCCCCATATAGATACTGAATGTCATCTTGTCTAATTTTCAGTTAGCAAAAAATTTTCATAATAAAAGTTCATATTAATCGGGAAAATGGGTCATAGCCAGAAGCCAGAAATGATTGGGAAGAAAAAGGGGTTAACCAGAGACTCCAGGCAGAAACTCCAACAAGTAGAGGCAGAAGCAGCCAAACTAGGGACTGCTGCACAGTAGGAGGGAGTGGAGGGGGAAGTAAGGGATAAAATGGCAAACAGCTGGGCCCACCCTTTCCCCCAGCAGCCTTCTGAATCCAGAACTGTGCAGGGCGTTAGGCCCCAGGTGGTGTCCCCAGTGTGGAATGCAGAGAGGAGCAAGCTAGAGATTCGAGCTGGCAGGGGTGGAAGAAGCCAAAGCAGGGACCTTTTAGATCTCTGGACATTCAAAGTACTTTCTACAGTTTGACTGTACTTTCTCTGCCTTGTACTGATTAACTTGTTTGCTCTGACCCTTCCATTCCCCTGACTCCTCCTTCACTGTCTCTTCACCTCACCTTCACTCCACATCTGCCCATTATCCTCTTCTCCCCTGCCCTTTTCTTTCCATTTAGCTGATCCACTCCTATGGTAAACTCACCCAAAATAAATAAATTAATTAAATTAAATTGTGGAACTAAGATGCTGTTTGCTGCTACCACATTGTTCACTCTGCTTGTGTGTTCTACCCCTTTCCCATCCTGCGTCTGCCTGGTATATTTAGATTGTAAGCTCTTAAGGGCAGGGACCATCTACTACTCTGTACAATGCCTAGCACAGTGGGATCCCACTCTTGAGTGGCCCTTAAGTACTACAGCAGTAAACATGTTAAAAGAAATAAAAACCTGAAGAATGACAAAATATTGTTTTTAATTTTGTAGGGCATATTATGGGAACATAAATTTTTTTGGAGGGCCTTCTTCAACTTCAGTAAAAGCTTCTGCAAAACTGAAACAACTGGAGGATGAAAATGAAGATGCCATGTTTGTTTTTGTTTCTGATGTTTGGCTGGACCAAGTGGAAGTGTTAGAAAAGCTTCACACTATGTTTTCAGGTAGGTGCAGTGTTATTTGCCTTTTTAGCTGATCCTTATGTTGAAGAATGTTTAAGCAGTTTGGTTGGGTTTATGACTTAAAATAGGTTCTTTTGCCAAAAAAGGAGTTTTCCTCAAGTTGTGATATGACAACTAATCTGTCACTGTTAAGCAGATGCTGAGAAAAGCTGGGGCAGCAGCATAATAGTCACTAGCCACATGCCAATGTCGGCATGAACACATGACTGAATAACCTTACATTTAGAGAAGGAGTTGGGGCGGAGTGGGGCACATCTTATTATGTTTAGAACCCTGCCAAACCTATGCCCAGTTCTGATGAAAAGTCAATCTTCAAGTGGTTGCAGCGTTGATTCATGGCTTGTATTATTTTTCTAATTTGGACCCCTCTCTAACAGTTTTTAAAATCGATTTGCATTGTGTTTTTGCAAAAAGTTGTAAGCTCAGATACCTCTCTATATTTCATTTAGTAACAATATTGTTTTGAATTGTAGCTATGTTATGTGATGTGACATGACGACAAGAATGGTTGCCTTGTTTCTTCCTTGGCTTTTTTTTTTTTTTTTTTTAAGAAATCCTTTACTTTATTGGAATCTAATACTCCCTCTTGTGCTCTTGCTGGTTTTAGCAGTAAGAACATGCTATGATTTATTTTTAAAATATGCACTGCTTTTTCCCCTCACATATTACATTAGTAATGTTGACAGCTCTTGTACAGCAAATGTCTGAGTGATCCATGAATTGCTTCTTGGTGTTCCAAAATACCTTTGGAACAAAATGTATTCAATCATTTGCATTCTATCCAAAGCAGAGGAGGTGGAAAAAACAAAATCATAGGTGGGAAATTACTGTTAATTTATGGAAAATGGGAGACAAATTATCAAACTCTATCCTAGTATTACGTTATGGAAACTAATTAATTATTTTGACAAAGGTTGACAAGAAGTGACTTAAACTGATCTAAGATTGCATATGATAAAGTAATAAAGGGATCTTGATCAGTTAAGTATCCTACTATCTAGGATGCATGTAATAGATTTACTATTTCAAAAATTAGGTCAAATAAGAGTTTTATTTATGGCACGCTTTTTAAAAAAATATAGTAATATTTGGGAGAAATATCAGAATAGAGACATAGGTTAGGAGTTTAATTTTTTTTACATAAAACCTTTTGTTAGATGCTTCATTTATCAATTGCATTTTAAGCCAGTGGAACAAAACTTGAGCCTGGAATAGAATAATTTCAAAAATTGGGATGTAAATCAGAGATATATATGAAAGCCTCAGAACTTGTTCTTGTTAATTTTTATTGGGAATTTGGTTTATTTTGGTTACTTAAATTTGTCTTATTACTTACTAATATTTTGTGTTATCGGGTTGCTGTTTCTTTTTGTGATTTGTTGTATTTAAAATATTTGTCAGAGACTCTTAGACTGTTTAGAGAGGTATCTCTAATTAACAATCTAAAGAAATAATAAGTAAGTACGCTGCAGTGTGTTGGAATTACTTTTTAGTGCAGAGAGAGGCGTGTGTTTGCGCACACAAACTTTGGAACATGTATACACACATCTTACAGATACTGTAAGGGTATCTGTCCTTTTTACTATTGTAAAGGGAAAGTAGGTATTTTTAAAATTGCAGTGTATTCATTTTTAATTAATCTGGTGTGATTTGATTGCTTTTGTGTGGAAATACTAACTATTGGCCTTCTCTGCTCCTACTGAAGTCTGGAGCTGGAGCAGACCTTGTGTTGTTATTGCTGCAGATAACAGAGAATTCCCTGTAAATGAGATGGTGCATCTCAATCCTGTTCCCCTCTAAATAGTTATGGGTGAGCTGTTCATCAGTGAAGAATCCTAAAGTACAAAGTAATACTGAGTGTAATATTCATGTATCTTTCCCAGGTTACTCCTCTGTGCCTCCAACTTGCTTTTTCTTTTGTGGAAATTTTTCATCTGCACCATATGGAAAAAATCAAATTCAATCCCTAAAAGGTATGAAAGTCTTTGTAGTCAGATATTTATTGTACATTAAATGGGCAACAAATACTGATTAAAATATATACTTTTTCACTTCTATAACATTTTTAATGTTTTAGGAGAGACAGTATTTTAGACATACTAAAATGTATGAATAGTTCATGAAGTACATAATTTTAGTGTCCAGACAGGTAGTGTCATAAGAAATCTTTAAATGCATTTTTTTCTGACTTCAGATTCCCTCAAGGCTCTTGCTGACATAATATGTGAATACCCCAGCATTCATAAAAGGTATGTATCAAAATGCTACATAATGGTAAAGTTATGTTTGTTATGTGAAAAAGTTAACAGAATAGTTGTGCTAATGACTTTTAAATACTTCATTAATTACTATGGGTCAGCTATGATTGTGTAGCTGTTCACAGTACCATGCCACAGGGTTGAAACAAGGTCATATTGTTGTTGTTTTTGGAGTTGTGTAAGGTTTGGATCCAGCCTGTGATAGCTGTGTAATGTGAGCAACTGTTCGTTGAACAAAGGTTAGACCAATTCTCCAGCTCTGGAACTGTTTTCATGTATACTAGTTATAGTCCCTGATCTTGCCAGAGTGCTATTCGGGTAAACTTCTGTGCCTGCCTGGTGCCCAGTGCAAGATCAGGGCCTAAGTTGGATTTTATAAATTCAAATGTAAGATTTTACACTGCTGGAAGCAACAGCAGGCCGTCAAGCTGTGCAAGCCCCAGAAAGCTTCATCTGAAATATTGGCTTGATACAGATGCACTTCCTTTCCACCTCTCCCCCAGACAGCTTTCCACAGCCATTATTTTAGGAGCTAACTAGTAGAAGGGGAGCTCCTGTAAATGATCTCTCTGCACTACGTTGTTCCTGTTTCTGTGGATCTTTCAAAGCCTCCTTCCATGGCTGTGGGGCTGATACTCCCTACAAAACCCTGTTTAAAACTCTCCTTTGCTGTGATGCCTGCAAAAGTAACAGTGGTTAGGCCACTGCTTTGCTGATACCATTGCCAATCATGCTGACCCATATTCTTATTGTTCCCTTGTGCTCACTTATCTGTTTGTTCATTTGTTGTCTCATCTTATACTTTGATGTAAGCTCTTTGAGCACAGGTTCGTTTTGTGTTTGTACAGAACCTACCACAATGGGGCCCTAGTCTGTGAAGGCTCCTATGGTCATACAAATAAATACTACTACTACATGGATTTGAGGGTACGGAGGGAAAGGCAGGGGTAGCCAGGCTCATCCTCTCCATCTTCTGATGCTCTGAATTTGTAATAACCGTTCTCAAATTACTGGCGCTGGTCAGCTGAATGGGTACCCATACAGTAACATTACTTAAGCATCTTTATAGTTTGATTCATAATATGTAACTTAAATTTAGATAATTGGAATTATGATTATATTAAACATAAGTTATGCATTAAATTGTTTATAGCAGTCGATTTGTGTTTGTTCCTGGCCCTGAAGATCCTGGTCCTGGTTCAATTTTGCCAAGGCAAGTTTGCTACAGAGTTTTTCTAATTTTAAGAACTTTCTAGTACAATATTGCTAAAGAGCATACAAATCTTCTGCAATGTTACTCTTTGTTGTAGGCCACCACTAGCCGACAACATCACTAGTGAATTCAGACAGCAGGTGCCATTTTCAGTTTTCACTACAAATCCTTGCAGGTAAATGTGTGACTTTTATAGTAACCAGAGAATGCAAAACACTTATTGCTATTTTCATATTGTTTTAGTGAGTGACCAGTTTGTGTATAGAAGTAACATTCTTAAAATGTGTGATAGCTACAGTAAATATATTAGAGGGAAATTAGTTTTAAACATTAGCAGTAAAAGGTACATTTTACCTTGTAACCTCTTCTACTTGTTATTTATTGAGGAATAAATAAGTTTTTGTGTCCTTTAAAATTAGTATCTGTACATAGTGTGCAATTATCTTATATTCTTCCCTCACCTAAAAGTTCAGTAGCAGAAATATAAACAAAGACAGCTCGGATCCAATATGTTTACTTTTCTATTTCAGAGGAAGGGAGGCGTGATGTCAGGATTTGGAGAGAGTGGTTTTAATTGCAATTTATCTTCAATTTTTGTAGATATAAACAATAGGGAAGAGATTGACATTGAAATATTTTTCCAGGCTTTCATAACATTTATTACTTCATTCCAATGCCAGGAAAATAAAAATTTCATACGGTATTTTCTATTCAGGGTTCAGTACTGCACACAAGAAATAATCATCTTTCGTGAAGATTTAGTAAATAAAATGTGCAGAAACTGCGTCCGCTTTCCTAGCACCAACTTGGATATTCCTAACCACGTAAGTTAAGAGTACGATGTAGCCTTTTATTCTATTTAATGTTAATCATACCTCAGTGGGTTTGGCTCTGTGGCTACAGTCTCCAGTTCAATAGAGTCACCTCTGTTAGCTCTAGATTTAGAGTTCATAGGAACACATGAAACCATAGGCAAATAACACATACAATTACAAGAGCATCTATCTTTTAGTAGTTTTATTAAAGTTACCAACAAAGCTGTAAATGTCACAACATATACAATTTCTATGGACACGTATAATGAACTAGTTATACCTACAGACATACTCACATCCTCCTAGATGGCGATACCATCTGATGGTCCTCTCATGGATTGACTATCAATATAAGAGTGATTCCTGCTGGAGTTTCCCGTAGGAAGCCCAGTTTCCCTGGTCTGGACAACCCTTTTATACTCTGAATCCGTTTATACCTACATTCTGTGCATGTCCATAAGTGTCAGCCCTCTCTTTCTTATTGATTTGTGTCTCCTGGAAACACAAGGCACCCCAAATTTTAAAGGCTGGGTAGGTTCTCGTCAATATTGACATACCACCTTTGTCTGCGGTTAGGGCACATGTTAAGAGACTATTTGTTGTTTCAGAGTTTTATGATTTAATTTTAATCTTCCTAGCTGTACTTTTTGCAATGTTACCAATTAATGCTTCTTTTTCCCATCATCTCTTGGGTTATTTCTCGGTCATTGTCTTGCACAATAATTTCTTGTCTCCAAGGCCTAAAATAGTTAAGCTAAAATCTTGCAGGCTTCGGCCTACAGGTCTTGCATTTCAGCTTGTCTTAATCATTAAACTAATACTTGGTTCCTCTAAATACTGATTAATCATCCTACAGATCAACTCTAATTAACATACAATGAACATATAGTATAACATATTGATTATCATATTGCATGATATATGAATACTAAAAATAATAATTGGCTACAGTGCCCAAAATTTCTTGTTAAGATCTCCTTGATTTACAGTGTTTTATAGTTCTGTATCACTTACCTCACTATAACAAAACCTCATAATAGAATGTTTGATGACTGAGGACAGTATTGTAAAAAGAGTTCAGTGCATATGTTACTACTTCAGAAGTAAGTTCTATAGTAAAATAACTGAAGATCTAACACAAACTGGCAGCATTCAGAGTTCTTTGAGTCCTCATCTCTCTGGATTCCATTGCTGGGGCCCATGCATCTATATCAGGGGTTGGCAACCTTTCAGAAGTGGTGTGCTGAGTATTCATTTATTGACTCTAATTTAAAGTTTTGTGTGCCAATAATAAGAATCCATGTGAGCCATGCTGCGCTGCGCCCCTTCTTGACCCTGTCTGTACCCCTTACTGCCCCAGGCTGGGGCCAGAGGGCCACAGCTGGGGGCGGCAGCAGAGCCCCGGGCCAGCAGCCAGGACCGCAGGCCAGCAGCAGAGACCCCCGGACCGGTGGCCGTGGCTGGCAGCAGGCTGAGCGGGGCTGGTGGCCGGAACCTTGGCTGGCAGGGGGCCGGTACCCCAGACCGGGGGCTGGGACCTGGGGCTGGCAGTGGGCTGAGTGGGGCTGGCGGATGGAACCCCAGGCTGGCAGCGGAGCCCCCCGGACTGGTGGCTGGGACCTGGGCCCAGCAGCGGGATGAGGGGGCCGGTAGATGGAACCCCGGCTGGCAGTGGGCTGGCGGCCGGTGTCCCAGGCCAGCAGCGTGGGACCGGTGGCCAGGTGACCCAGGGCCAGCAGCAGGCTGAGTGAGGCCAGCGGACAGAACCCCGGCTGGCAGCGGAGCCCCCGGGACTGGTGGCCAGGACCCAGGCATTGTGACTGCCACTGAAAATCAGCACGTGTGCCATAGGTTGCCTACCCCTGATCTAAATGCACAAGTTTGGAACTTTCTAGCAACCAGTGTTCTGGGTGTGTATGTTGCCAGTAATAGCCATTGTGCCAAGTAATTCTGACTTCTTAATAAAAGGTTTAGCACAATATATCCTGTTGTGCCTTGATATTCCAGGGGTCAGAATGGTGGCTGAGTTTATATTGCTCTTTTGTTTGTTTGTGGTACCCAAGGTTTGTACAGCTTGGCACCTATTTGTCTCTGAGGTTTCCTTCCCTTACTGCGTCACACAACAGTGGAGCCTTTCAGTGTCAAGAGCTACCCAGTCAAGAACAGAAATTTACAAATCTTCATTTTGTGCGTGCACGCATGCCACAAATCTTTACTTTCTATATTAATGACAAAAACACCTTTCTCCCTCCTATTGTATGTGTCCGCAAGGATGCTTTCTGCATGACTCCACAGCATTTTCCCTCTGAGAGCTGTGTTGCATTGTACCCATAGTGCCCTCCTCCTTTTCAGTCTGCCTCATTAAAGCAATTTAATGGGAGGGGAAAACCTTGCCCTCATATTGACTTTATGGCATATTCAGGTCTTCATTAATATCAGTGGAACCATAGAGTCATATGCATGTAATGCTTCCATTAACAGCGGTTGGTGGGCCTTCAAACTCAGTATGATCCGTGGAATAATTCTGATTTGACTATATATGTGTTCATTAATCTTACTGTTCTTGAGATTGTAACTGAGACCTCACAATTAGTTGTTGTGGTGCAGACAGGATTAGGACTTCTAGTGAGACATAAGCAGAAATAGATACTCTTTTCACAAACACGTGCTTTTCTGCAAGTGTCACTGATTAAAAAACAAGAGAGGAGAAATACATGAAAACTATAAGCATCTCTGAGTTGCTTTTAAGATGGAGAATTGGTAAATAATTATGGCAAACATGAATTTCGGTTGATTGAACATTTCATTATTTTCTTTTATTTTTGTCTTGCAGTTTGTAAAGACTATCTTATCACAAGGACATCTGACTCCACTTCCACTTTATGTCAGCCCTGTATTTTGGGCATATGATTACTCCTTGAGAGTGTACCCCGTGCCAGATCTGATTGTCACTGCAGATAAATATGATCCTTTCACTGTTACTAATACTGACTGCGTTTGCATAAATCCTGTAAGATTTTCTTTATGCTTTACCAAAATAAGGACACTACATCACCAATAAGCAGAGAATTGTATAATATCTTTAAAATTGAATTTATTCAATTAAATTATTCTAAGTATTCGTAGTAGGCCAAATATAGAAGGGAAACTACTGTATGGTTAACAGACAAAAAGAAAGCAGTTACACTTTGTTCTTTGCATAATAACACTACAAGCTGCTGACACAAGTTTGGTATATTTTTCATTATAGGGTTCTTTTCCAAGAAGTGGATTTTCTTTCAAGGTGTTCTATCCCTCCAACAAAACAGTAGAAGACAGGTAAATAGCTTCAGGACCCGATGTTATTAACAAATGATTAACATAACCACTTTCTGCTGGCTTTCTTCTCATAATGAACAGGAATATTTAATGATATAGACAAAAGATCATCATCTCTCGTTACCCTAAACATAGCATACTTGTACCCATACATAGCGTACTTAAGGACAATGAAGCAAAGTTCAGATTTTGCCTTCAGAAACAAACATGCAGCTCCCATTGAAGCTAATGGGAGTGAAGTACACAAACCTCAGGGCAGGAACTGGCCATTTTCCACTACCATGAATTTGTATTTGCTTATTTATTTATTAAATGCAACAATATCTTAACAGTATCTGGATGCAAATGTTCCAATAACTAACACGTAATTTTTGACTTATACTTTATTATTACTTTATACATAAATGTGTGTAGTCAGGGTCCTGAATCCCTACAATAAAAATAATACATTTACAAATTATAGTAAAAATTTAGGTGATAAAATAATAAAATCTGTAAGTAGAGGGAAAAAAAAGAGTACCTTATGCTTTTCAGTACCTCAAGCCCAACTGCAATGCTGAAAGAAAGTAATTAACTTATGGAGGTTAGGGTTGCCAACTTTTCTAATTTCTGAAAACCGGACCCTACAGCAGAAGTGCCGGAACCTCCCCCAGTCCTGCCTCTTCCCCCATGTCCTGCCCCCCAGCTGGGCTCCCTCTGCTCCTGCACTGGGAAGAGAACTGCAGCCCCTGACGGGGAGGCTGCCTGCCCAGGAGATGCAGGTAGGAGTTGGCCCCAGTTGAGCAGTGGCTGGCACAGGTTGATGACCTGGTGCTCCTTCCCACCTACACCGCTCCCCAGTAATTGGACTTTTGGTGTCCAGTCAGTACATCTGACAAGACACTGTACACGTCCCCTTTCAACTGGACTTTCTGGTCAAAAAACGGATATCTGGCACCCTCAGTGGAGGTGGTGCTATATTGTGCCTAGATCTTGGAAAACATTTGCTTCTTCTTCCATGCAGTGTCCTGTTTTGCTATAACAATGTGTTTCTAATATAGTTTTGTTGTTGTTGTAACTGGAGCTAATTAAATCCCAGTGCAATTTTCTCTGACATGCTTGGGATCATGATCTAGTCAACAAGTGATTGTGGGTTAGTTTTAGATTTTCAGTATTTTACACCTGTAAACTTCATCTGGTCTGGACAGCGATTGGAAAAAAGGCCAGTCAAAATGTACTGGAAATAGAAAGCTTCGTATAGTAGGTTTACTGTTGTGATGAGATCTGCTTCAGTTTGAATCCATTACAATAGAAGCTTATGAGAAATGTGAAAAGTATTTCTTGTATTAAATAGAACTCTGTGATTCAGTTAATAAGTCTGTCTAGATTTTTTTTTTAAATGGCTGATATAAAATAAGGGAGTCTATAATAGAATTGTTCACACAACTTTGACCAGAAGATAGAAAATACCCCACTAAAAGGCAGTAAATCTGTTCAAATATTTCAGACTTTATTAAACCTTTCAGGTATGAGAGAGCATAATGGTAAGTGAATTGGTTTCCAGAAACAATGATGTATGTTATACAAATTAAATACTGTTTTTAATATTTTCAGCAAACTTCAAGATCTCTGAATTTCTGAAAGACTGCATGAAGAAGTCAAACATTCTGTTCCAACATATTGCAGAACTAATTTGAGATTGTTTCATATGCTTATGGATTTATTTTATTGTGTGTTAGATTATTCATATTTAAATGTCAATGCAAAAGACTGGTAAATTTTGTAAATAAATTTTACAGGAAAAAATGTCAGTGTTAGTTTCTTAGAATAATTAAGGATTCATAATATACTGTGTGTTTGAGTTAACCTGCAAGATCGAAAACTAGAAGTGGAGATGCAATTAAAAGATATTCAAAGTGGATATATTTTATATTTAAACTTTAAGTACATATTCAAAATTATGTGCCTCTTCTGAGAATTTTGTTTTTTACCTTGTGCTGGTCTATTTTTTTTAAAAGTCAGGATCTACTTCTGAGACACAGATATAGAAGACCTCTTTCTTGAGCAGTTTTTTTCCCCTTTACGGTAAAATATGTATGTTTTATTCTACACTTGCTTTGACAGTTTAAAAATAAGTATGTACCTTAAATATTTGCCTAGTCTCCTTTGAAACCAGCATAGAGTAGCCTGCACCTTGTCTGAGTCTAAAACTTGGTTTTGCTCAGGCTATATTACAGTGTTTGATGAAATCAAGTGAAATACCAGTGAGGGAAAATCAAAGGCTTCCTTTGGCATACACAAAAAGATTTGAGCTTCGTTGTTAAAGAGTGTGACATAAAACGAGTGTGACATATCTCACTGAAGTATTTTATGCCATAGAGTCTGTACAGAATTAAAAATATTTTTGAAATGTAAGTGTTAGAGGCATTTGGACAGACACTGAATCACATGATAGACAAAATTATTTGTGTGAGGCAGAATATTTTTGAAGAGCAGCTGCAAAAATATTTTAAAAACTAGTAATTTTGACAGTTCTGCACTAACACCATTTTTGTACCTGATTCAGTAAAGCCACCTTGAAAACAAGCAGGAATATTAAAGTATCTAACTGCTTGATCTTGTTTGGGTAGGTACCAAGGACATAGGGAAAGGTAGGAGACAGGTTCCGGAGGCCAAATTTAGGCTTATAAATAAGAGATTGAAGTCTAGGACCTCCATAGTAGCATTCTCTGAAATGCTTCCAGTTCCACATATGCAGGGCCAGTTATACAGGCAGAAAGGCAGAGGCTCAATGCATGGATGAGATGATGGTATGGGGAAGAGGGATTTTGGTTTATTAGAAACTGGGAAACCTTTTGGGAAGGGTGGAGCCTGTACAGGGAGGACCTAAACCAAAATGGAACCACATTGCTGGCATGCAGAATTTAAAAGGTCATAGAGGACTTTTTAAACTAAGGACTAGGGGAAAGCCAACAATTGTGGAGGAGCACACGGTTTGGACAGAGACATCCCTTAGAGCAGTGGTTCTCAACATTTCTAGACTACTGTACCCCTTTCAAGAGTATGATTTGTCTTGTGTACCCCGAGTTTCACCTCACTTAAAAACTACTTGTTTACAAAATCAGACATAAAAATACAAAAGTGTCACAGCACACTATTACTGAAAAATGGCTGACTTTCATTTTTACCATATACTTATAAAATAAATTGATTGGAATATAAATATTGTACTTACATTTCAGAATGCTACTTGAGCCTGTTTTTCCACTTATGAGTCTTGTACGAAGCCAAAGCTCCGCTGCCTGCGGCTGAAGCATGTAACTTAGCTTTGTGGTGCCCCCTGTGGTGTAGCAGGTAACTGCCCTGCTTGCCATTTCCTAACGCCAGCCTTGCAACTCCCCCAAACCCATCCTGTGACCCCCTGGGGGCTGCAACCCTCATGTTGAGAAACACTTCTCTAGATGAGTACCCCTAGAGGTACACATATCCCTGGTTGAGAACCACTGCCTTAGAGCATCCCCTTTAATAAATCCTCCCTATATCCTAGTAAAGAGGAGAGGCAGAAACAATCAAACAAAAGAGTCCCACTCAATTACATCACATGAATGCAGACAACTAAATATTGACACATTTTATATGTGCTTGTATACAAATGCTAGAAGTCTAAACGCTGAGATGGGTGAACTTAAGTGTCTGGTATTAAATGAGGATAGTCATACAACAGGCATCACAGAAACTCAGTAGAACACGCTTAGGGTACAAAATACAAAGGAATAACAGAGTAGGTTGCGTTGGTGGGTAAGTGGCACTGTATATGAAAGAAGGCATAGTCACATATAGTAAAAATCTTAGGTGAATCAAACAGTACCATAGAATCTCTATGGACGGAAGTTCCCTGCTTGAATAATAAGAGTATAGCAGTAGGAATACATTACCGACCACATGACCAGGATGGCAACAGTGACTGTGAAATGCTATGGAAGAGTAGAGAGGCCACAAAAACGTACCTCAGGATGGGAGGCAGAGATAAAATGTCTGGACACCATTAATGACTTTTTCTTGGAGCAGCTAATCCTGGAACCCACAAGAGGAGAGGCAATTCTTGATTTAGTCCGAAGTGGAGCACAGGATCTGGCCCAAGAGGTGAATATAGCTGAATCACTCAGTAATAGCAACTATAATGTAATTAAATTTAACATCCTTGTAGGGGCAAAATACCAAAGAAACCCACCACAGTAGCATTTAGCTTCAACAAGGAGAATTACACAAAAATGAGAGCTAGTTAAATGGAAATTAAAAGGAATAGTCACAAAAGTGACATGTTAGTTTCCAAGAAACTTGCAGACAACACCAAAACAGAGGCTTGGGGCAGGTCTACACTACTGCTTAAGTTGATCTAACTAACATTGCCTAGGGGTGTGAAAAAGATCCCCCCTCCTCCCCCCGAGCAATGCAAGTTACAGCAACCCACGCGCTGTCCACACTGGTACTATGTCAGTGGAAGATGCTCTGCCACCAACACAGCTTCCACCTCTTGTGGAGATTAAGTAATTATGCTGACGGGAGAGTGCTCTCCTGTTGGCATAGACCATCTTCACCAGACCCGGTGCAGCTGCACCAATGTAGCACTTCTAGTCTATACTTGCCTCAGACTGAATGTGTACCTCAAATTAAAAAAACAAAACAAATCAGTAAGAGGGCCAAAAAAATGCCTCCATGGCTAGACTGCATAATTAAACAGACAAAAAAGCATCTTTTAAAAAGTGGAAGTCAAATCCTGCTAGAGGAGAATAGAAAGGCAAACAAACTCTGGCAAGTCAAGTGTAAAGGTATAATGATGCAGGCCAAAAAAGAATTTGAAGCTAGCAAAAAACTAACAGCAAAAAATTAAGTACATGAGAAGCAGGAAGCCTGCCAATCAGTGGGGTACCTGGATGATAAAGGTGCCAAAGAAGCACTCGACCAAGACAAGGCTGTTGCCGAGAAGCTAAATGAATTATTTGCACTACTCTTCGCTGCAGAGGATGTGTGGGAGATTCCCACATGTGAACTTTTTTTTTTTTTAGGTTACAAATCTGAGGACCTGTCCAAGATTGAGGTGGCTGTAGAGGAGATTTTGGAACAAATGGATTATTTAAACAGTAATAAGTAACCAGGACCAGATGGTATTCACCTGAGTTTTGAAGGAACTACTAACTGTATGTAACCATTTGTTTAAATCATCCTCAGTACCAGAAAACTGGAGGATAGCTAACGCCACGTAACACAGTTTTTAAGAAAAAGCTCCAGAGGCAATCTTGGCAATTACAGGCTGTTAAGCCTAACTGCTATACCAGGCAAAGTGGTGCACACAACAGTAAAGAACAGAAGGATCAGACCCAAAGATGGATACAATATGCTGGGGAAGGATCAACGTGGCTTTTGTAAAGGGAACTCATGCCTCACCAATCTATTAGAATTCTTTGAGGGTGTCAGCAACCACATGGACAAGAGTAAAGCAGTTGATATATGGTGACAGGACCTTCCGAAGGCCTTTGACAAAGTTCCACATGAAAGGCTCGTAAGCAAAGTAAGCAGTCATGGGATAAGAGGGAAGGTTCTCTCTTGGATCAATAACTGGTTAAAAGTTAGGAAGCAAAGGATAAGAATGGTCAGTTTTCATAATGGAATGTGGTAAACAGTGGGTCCCTCAAATCTGTACTGGGACCTGTGCCGTTAAACATATTCATAAATTATCTGGACAAAGAGGTAAACAGTAAGGTGGCAAGTCTGCAGATAATAAAAAATTACTCAAGTTACTTAAGTCCAAAGCTAACTGAAGAGTTACAAAGTGATCTCATACAACTGGGTGGCTGGGCAGCAAAAAGACATGGAATTCAATGTTGATACATGGAAAATAATACACATTGAAAAACATCCTAACTATACATATAAAATGATAGGTTCTTATTATCTGTTACCACTCAAGAAAGGGATCTTGGAGTCATTGTGGCTAGTTCTCTGAAAACATCCACTCAATTTGCAGCGGCTGTCAAAAAAGCTAGCATAATTTTAGGAACCATTAGGAAAGAGATAGACAGAAAATATAACTGCACTATATAAATCCAAGATACACCCACACCTTGAATACTATGTACAGCCCTGGTCTACGTCCCCCAAAAAGATACATCAGAATTGGAAAAGATACAGAGAAAGGCAACAAAAATGATTTAGGGGTATGGAACAACTTCCACAGGAGGAAAGATTAAAAAGTATGGGACTGTTCAGTTTAGAAAAGATGATAAGGGGGATATAACAGAAGTCTATAAAATCAGAAGAAAGTGAATAGGGAAGTATTATATCTCTTTACAGAACACAAGAACCAGGGTCCAATGAAATTAATAGGCTGCAGGTTTAAAACAAACGTAAGGAATACATGCAATGCATAATCAACCTGTAGAACTTGTTGCCATGGAATGTTGTGAAAGCCAGAAGTATAACGGGGTTCAACAAAACTTAGATTAAGGATAGGTCCATCAATGGCTATTACCCAAGATGGTCAAAGGTAGCAGTCCTATACTCTGGGTGTCCTTAAATGTGTGACAGCTGTAAACTGGGACTGGACAACTGAGGGTTGATCACTCGATAAATTGCCCTATTCTGTTCTTTCCCTCTGAATCATTTGGCACTGGCCACTGACAGAAGACAGGATACTGGGTTAGATGGATCATTGATCTGTCCCAGTATAGCCCTTCTTATGTTGCACAACATATAAAAAAGAAATTAACCCTATAATTATTACAGCTAGACCCACATTTAAAGTTGGAGGCTAGAAATAAAAAAATGTTATAAATAACTTAAATGAAGTCACAAGGTTGTTTCCAGTAGAAAGCTGGGCAGTAATCAATGTGCTTAATGTGCTGTAGATACCTGAAGTTTGAGCATCATGAGAAAAACCTTCCATGTCTGAGAGGTGCTTCCATCTAAGTCTCTATCACTTTAACAAGCTATTTCACTCAAAATTAACAAAGGGGAAACAACTTTTAAAAAAATTATTTGAAGAAATAAGTTTCTTAAAGTACTTTTCAAAAAAAAGGCTAGACTTTTCTCCTCCTCTGTGTAAACTTGAATAGCTCTTACCCACAGTGGCTTTTAACCTTGTTACTTAACCATATTATTTTAAAGCGCCTCAGTGGGAGACCTCACACCTTAACTGAAAGCTTTGACTTTTTTTTTTTAAAAAAAAAATAGAAGTTTAAAGGGACTCTGAAGCTTAACATGACACAGGGTCTTTAAGCTAGATGCCTCTGCAGGAGGTGGGGGAGAATGTGTTGCTACCTTCAAAAATTCTTTGCTATCGTGGAGAGATTTCCAGCTGGTGGTAAGATGACCGCTACAGGCTGGGGACCTACTGGCTAAGCAGCAGTTCTGCAGAAAAGGACCTGGGGATTACAGTGGATGAGAAGCTGGATATGAATCAGCAGTGTGCCCTTATTGGGCTGCATTAGTAGGAGCATTGTCAGCAGATCGAGAGAAGTGATTATTCTCCTCTATTCGGCACTGGTGAGGCTACATCTGGAGTACTGTGTCCAGTTTTGGGCCGCCCACTACAGAAAGGATGTGGACAAATTGGAGAGTGTCCAGTGGAGGGCAATGAAAATGATCAGGGGACTGGAGCACGTGACTCACGGGAAGAGGCTGAGGAACTTGGCTTGTTTAGTCTGCAGAAGAGAAGAGTGAGGGAGGATTTGATAGCAGCCTTCAACTACCTGAAGGGGGGTTCGAAAGAAGATGGAGCTCGGCTGTTCTCAGTGGTGGCAGGTGACAGAACAAGAAGCAATGGCCTCAAGTTCCAGCAGGGGAGGTCTAGGTTGGATATTAGGAAACACTATTTCACTAGGAGGGTGGTGAAGCCCTGGAATGGGTTCCCTAGGGAGGTGGTGGAATCTCCCTCCTTAGAGGTTTTTAAGGCCCGGCTTGACAAAGCCCTGGCTGGGATGATTTAGTTGGGCTTGGTCCTGCTTTGAGCAGGGATTGGACTAGGTGACCTCCTGAGGTCCCTTCCAACCCTGATATTCTATGATTCTGTGGAATCATTCATGGGGGTCTTTAAGGGATACAAACAGGGCCCTAGCGGCTGCTGGACAGGAAGGTGAGAGCCACACCAGGCTATGTGCCAATGAACCAGTCCTGCAGCTGCACTCAGAGGGGGTGCACTCAAAGCAGCAAGAAAAAGTCAGGAGGCATGGCCCCCCATCCATGCCCTGGCTGCACCTCAGCCTGGCTGGGGGGAGGGTGGCCTGTGCCAGCCGGCGGCGGGCCTGCTGAGCGGGCAGAGGGAAATAAGGGCGCCCCACGGCAGCCGCTCCGGGCGGAACAGAACCTGGGTACGCGGCTGGCGCCACGGTGCCCCCTAGAGGCGGGAACAGACAGAGCGGCGGGGCCGCCATTTTGTTTGGCGCTGTTTCCACGGAGACCAGCGAGGGTCCGGCCGGGGTGAGCGGGCGAGGCCGATGGCGGCCGCGGGGCGCTCCGGCCTGGAGGAGCTGCAGCTCACGGCCGAGGAGGTGGAGCGGCTGAAGGGCGCCTTCCGGGACGAGCGGTTCCGGGCGCTGCTGGCGGAGTACGCGGCGGAGCTGGCCGACCCGGAGCAGCAGCGGCGGTACGAGGCGGAGGTGACGGCGCTGGAGCGGGAGCGCGGGGTGGAGGTGCGCTTCGTGCACCCGGCGCCGGGCTACGTGCTGCGGACCAGCCAGGGGGGCGCCCAGCGCTGCTACCTCAACGTCTGCAGCGACCCGCTGCTGGGCCGGCCCCAGGCCCGCGCCGAGCCCCGCGGCCAGCGCTGGGCCCTGCCCTACAGCCTGGCCCCCGGCCGCGAGGAGCTGGGCCGCTCCGGCCGCCGGCGCCTGGTCTACGACGTGGTCTTCCACCCGGAGACGCTGCGCCTGGCCGCCCGCAGCGCCCGCTTCAGGCGCATGGTGAGCGACACGGCGCTGGAGGCGGTGCAGAGCCGCTTCGGGGTGCAGCTGGACCGGGCCAACGCCGTCCCGCTGCGGGGCACCGCCTACAAGGGGGTCCCGCAGGCCTCCGTCATCCGCACCCCGCTGCCAGGGGGCGCCCCGCCGCCGCGGGCCGAGGAGCCCGGCTCCCCGCTGCCGCCCTTCCCGTCCCCCTACTCCTACCCCGCTGCCCCCGGCGGCAGCGCCCAGCCGCCGCCGCCGGCCCCCGCCGCGCCGCCCGGCCCCCAGCCGGGTGACGGGGCTCGGCCCCCGGCCCCCACCGCGCCCCGCTGGAGCCTGCGGCACCGCTCCTACGTGGACCTGCAGGACTATCGCTGCTGCCGGGACTCGGCGCCCAGCCCGGTGCCCCGGGAGCTGGTGGTGACCATCGACCTGCCGCTGCTGAGCTCCGCCGGCCAGGCCGCCTTGGAGATCCGGGGGCGGGAGCTGCGCCTGGACTCGCAGCGGCCCGCCTACCGCCTCCGCCTCCGCCTGCCCTACCCGGTGGACGAGAACCGCGGGCAGGCCACCTTCAACAAGGCCAAGCGGCAGCTGCTGGTCACGCTGCCCGTCCTGAGCGTCGCGGCCCCTGCCGAGCCCAGCGGAGCGAGCCTGGAGGAGCCCGAAGTCGGCCCGGCTTCCTCAGTAGGCCTTGGTCCGGGCCAGGAGCAGCGGGAAGAGGCAGGGCCTGCAGCCGGGGAGGAGGAGGAGGAGCTCGGGCTGCCGCCAACTGAGCAAGCGTGTGTGCCAGGCGGTAGCGGCCGGGCCCCCAGCAGCCTGACTCGTCCCGTGACACCGGTGTGCCCCGACAGCGTGGATCTGACCTCGTACACCACCACCAGCAGCCAGGCGGATCCTTCCCTGGCACCCAGTAACGGGACAGATCTTCCCACTTGTCCCAGCAACAGCCTGTACCCTGCCGTGCCCACCGAGTGCCTGAGCCGCAGCGGCGACCCAGACCGTCCTGCGGCCCCCAGCACCATGACCGCTCCGGTTTGTCCCGCCTTCCAGTGCACCCAAGACGAAGAATCTCTGACCCTGCTCTTGCAGGTGCCAAACATCCAGCCAGAGAGTTTGAAGGGGGAAGTTGGCACAAATCACTACAGACTCAGTTTCAGTTCCAAGGACGCTGCTTCCTACTCCTTCCTCTTACAGTTTCCTCTTGAAAACAAGCTGACCCCCCCCGAGGCTGGTATTAATGTCTCCCCCAACAACGCTGTAATAGGACTATCCAAATCTCCTGAGAGTGGTGGACTTTGGGGGAAGATGTACTTCGGCTTAAACAGCAACACTCTGCAGGTAATTATCTCTAAAATGACACATCCAATATATAATGATCCCAAAATAAGCTTAAATTTAGATGTGCTTTGGGGAAGGTCATAGCTTGATCTAGTTAAAAAAGGATGATTGACTTAGGGGATAGTTAATGGGCTATAAAGCTTTTCACTTCTAGGCCACTAGTTCAGGTTTAAACCAGGGGGTAGTGTCTTCAAGTCCATTACCATCTGACAGCTGTTCAGTGGCCTATTGTAAAATGAACCAGTACCTGTGATGGCCCTATTCTGATTCACAGATGGTGGGCAGACGTTCACATGGCAGAGATCACTGCTACTATTAAGAATCTTAGCAAAAGCCCAGCATTGAATGGGGTGGAATACAAACTATTATTGCTCTCAGAGGTGGTCCCTCTAAGGGCTTGTCTACACTGGCAACTACTCTGCTGTGACAGCGCTTTAATGTGCTTTGTGTAGTCACGGCACAGTGCTCTAAAAAAACACCTCCACAAGGGGAAAGGCTAGCAGTGCTGAAACTTGCAGCACTCAGGGGTGTTCTTTCACACCGCTAAGCGAGAAAGTTGTAGCATTGTAAATTGCCAGTGTAGACAAGCCCTAAATAACTAAGGGTGAAGACAGGTAGGCACAACGGTGTGAGGGAAGCAAGGCCTAACCTTGCTGTACCTGTTTTGTGGTTAAATAATTGGCTTTAATCTCCAAGGCTGTCAAGCTGTCCTCTTCCACAAGCACTAAATTCACATGAACAATAGTGTATGTATGTGTGCACACATACAATTATTTTGAGATGAAAGTGTGTGAATATAGTATACACCAGTGGTTCTCAACAAGGGATACTCAGAGGTCTTCAAGGGGGTACATCAACTCATCTAGATATTTGCCTAGTTTTACAGCCAGCTACATAAAAAACCAAAACACTTAACAAAGTCAGTACAAACTAAAATTTCATACAGACAATAACTTGTTTATACTGCTCTATAATCTGTATACTGAAATGTAAGTACAATATTTATATTCAGATTGATCTATTTTATAATTATATAGTAAAAATAATAAAGTAAGCAATTTTTCAGTAATAGTGTGCTGTGACACTTTTCCATTTTTATGTCTGATTTTGTAAGCAAGTAGTTTTTAAGTGAGGTGAAACGGGGGGGGGGGGGGTACTCAAGACAAATCAGAGTCCTGAAAGGGGTACAGTAGTCTGGAAAGGTTGAGAGCCACTGCTATACACAACCAATTTCAAGATAACTATATACTGCTATAACTGTTGAAATAAGATTGCTAAAACAAGCAGGTTAACATAAAAAGCAGCTTTAAACGTTAAAAAGCCATTGATTGTCATCTTGAATTAGAGCTCCAGTAACGTCATGTGAGCAACCTAGATGTGATTTCTCGCTTAATTTTTTCCTTATTCCCTGTGCCATGGGCCTTCAACGTGACTTTTTCTCAGTAGTCATCTAGAAATACCTGTTTCCAACATATGGAAATACTCAAAACTGGTTTTCTTCAATAGTGAAGAGCATTCACAGAGATTTCCATGATAAAGAACTGGACTTTCCTGCACATGGAGCACTTAAAACAAACTTTCCATGTATAAGTACCCAAGAGAATGGAGTTTTGGGTTCAACTTCACTATATTGTAGAACCATGAAATCCTTTACAACTTGGAACACACATTGTGAGATGCCCATTCTGTAAAGCTGACTAATGTCTTCAGTATATTCGCTGGGCTGAGGGCCTGGAGCATGGAAAAATTCTTTCCAAAATCTGCAAAAAGAAAAGGAGTACTTGTGGCACCTTAGAGACTAACCAATTTATTTGAGCATAAGCTTTCGTGAGCTACAGCTCACTTCATCGGATCCAAAATCTGAGGATTGCAAAATATTGTGTGACGCTTTCAGGGATTCTGGGACTTCTTAATTTTTGTTTTTTTTCCCCCCAGTTAGTATAGAAAGGGACAAGTTTTTTGAAACCTGGCTTCTAATTTTGCATGCCTACATGAAAGTCATCTTATATCAGTGTGGGAGAAGTTGCTGGTGAAAAGGAAACCATGTCATTACGGGGCAGTGTAAAAAGTTGAGAATTCATTGGATGGCCCTTCACTATAGCTGTTGTGGTGAATTACCTGGGACAGATTCATGGGCATTTTCTTCAAAGCAAGAGCTTCTGATGTACATCAGTGGAACCATGAGGCATTATCCTCAATGTTTTTAATCCATGTGACTAAGAGCTTTTCTTACCTGATATGGCATTGGCCCTATCTGTGCAGATTTCAGTAGACCACTGTCACAGAATATAGGAATCTTTGACTGTTTCCTGAAAAGTCTTAGATATGCATTCTCCTGGTGCAGCTTCACATGGGTATTTTCCCTTTGTCATAATTATTTAGCATGGTGTGTACTCTCTGTATGAAATTCACGTGCACGCAGGTATTACCAGAAACTCTAGCAGCCTGTTGCGCATTCTTGCATCCTAGTACTTGCCAAATCATTATGTAGGGTGCTCAGATAACACCAAAACGTTGCACAGTATTACATTTTTTGCACGACCTCCCATGAGTCCCCTCTGTGATTCTTGTGGAGGTAATGAACCTCAGTTTGGGACACTCTGATGTAATATAATGTGCTTGTAATGAGGTGAATGATTATCTGATTTAATTTTCATGTACCAGTTGAACCTGACTGTTGGTGTTTGGTACATGCATTCATTAGGAGTTAGAATCATAGAATATCAGGGTTGGAAAGGACTTCAGGAGGTCATCTAGTCCAACCCCCTGCTCAAAGCAGGACCAATCCCCAACTCCCCAGATCCCTAAATGGCCCCCTCAGGGATTGAACTCACATCCCTGGGCCAGACCAATGCTCAAACCACTGAGCTATCCCTCCCCAATTTTTGCCCCAATCCCTATATGGCCCCTTCAAGGATTGAACTCACAACCCCGGGTTTAACAGGCCTATGCTCAAACCACTGAGCTATCCCTCCCCTCCGCTTCTGAGTATATGTGGGGAAGGTCACTAAAAGGTTATTCAGGATATCAATCAATCAAAATAGTCAAATGCCTTTCTGAGTTAAAATTTTGAAATTAGATAATCTCATTCATTTTGGACCACTAAATGTGTGTGTGTAGGGGAGAGGATGTTTAGGACTTATCATAGGCCATCAGCAGTTCATTAACGTAGTAGATTAAAAATTAATTTATTCTGAGAGACAGTTTTTTTAGGACACAGTCTTTGAGTTGACATAGTACCACTATTTTCAAGAAGTATAGTTCAGGGAGTAATATTTTTTTCTTTTTCTTTGTTAGACGAGGTCAGATCTTTTAGGGTCTCTGGGCTGGCATACATTCATACTAAATATTTAGGTTTCAATTTTCATATGTGCTGAGCACTTGTAGTTCCAGTTGAAGTAAAAGGGAACTGTAGATGTTCAGTGTTACCCCCTAACTGTCCTCTTTGCGAGGTGGTGTCAGGGACAAATCAAAGGGGAACACAGCGCATCCATCTGATTAAATATTGGCACAAACTCAAAATGCTTTCATCCAAACTTATTATTTTATTAGATCTCAAGCACACACAAATATGCAAAAGGGTTAGAGCGCCCCCAAACAATAGTCTGGAGGTGTCTCAAGTGGTCAAATGACAAGGTTCAAGTGGCCAGCAATCCGCGTGACACTGGGGATTCCAAGAGATGTCCAGAAGGTCAGATCCAAATCACTCAGACCTCTTCCCCTTTTTATGCTCAAAATGTCACCAATAACCACTGAGCAAGAAGTTTGTTAAGCAAGAAATTTCGAGACCTTAGTTATACAGATGTTTTTGCAGAGTCTGCAGTCTCATGGGCCCCAACACACACACACACCAGAAGTCAGATATAGACAGACTCCTTGTCTTTTCAAAACCACATACTTCAGCAATTTGAAAGAGATATATAAAAAAACAATTCAGACATATATTAACCAACCGTTTGAGGTTTTTTTAGTAGCGTGGGGGAATCTGTCTCTACTGTGGGATTTGCAGGATCTAAGGTTTTTGTGGATGGTAATGGGATAAAAATGCAAGAAACAATGCAGGAACGGGTGAGAGTGGGTATTGTGGGGTGGGTTGGGAGTGGGATTAAAAAAATATTCCCATACAGGGCTCTGATTTAGGGTACTGTCCCTCAAGGCCTCTTCCAAAATCCCCTCCCAGGCTGTTTGCCTAGATTTACCCAAAAGCAGATCCTGATCTCTCCCACTGTTACTTATATTCTAGTCTATATTTCCTGTGTTCACACTGGACTACATTCTCCAGAATGCTGTGGTCCTAGGCTGACCCAGGAACAGGGCAAGTGGAAAATCCTGACCCCCCTCTTAAAGGGCTAGCTTGCCTCTTGACATTCAGCCTATGAAATGAAATACTTAATTCTTAACAGAAATAGAAAGCAGGTTTTGATCTTGTTGGGTGAATCAAGAATATATTCTGCTGTCAATAGACTATTTTGTAACAGTAGTTTAAACTATATTCAGAAATGGGAAGCAGACTCAGAGAGGCAGTTAATTTAGGCAGACCAACCACCTGCAGCTTTTGGGGGCAAAAGTGCCTTATTTTATTTAATTAGAGAAATGTTAGTTAAAGTACTAACTGAAATGTATTTAACTTCCTCCAGGTTAAGTGTAAGAGACATCAGGTATTCCTCAGAGTGCTGAGGAGGCTATGCTCATAGGGGTATATACTTTTATCATTGGTGATTGTGCTCTAAAATCATCATCTTTGGAGGAAAAGTTACTGAATACTTAAAATCCTAAAGGCTGACCGCCCTTTAGACATTGGCATTAGGTTTATTCCATAACATATTAGGAATAAGATTACATAGAGAATTGTGCTACCTCCTTTTGTGGGCTATGTATATTATCACCTGTACATGGAATAATCCCCTTACTCTTATCTTTGATTGAGCCCAGTGTTTATGGGATGTAGTGGTGCTGGAAAAATATTTAACTTTTCTAAATATACTTTTTTCATTACTACACTATCTGGTACTCTTTCATCACTGAAGGACACAATCCTCTGTACCAAAAAACCCAAGATCAAACAAACCTGCTTATGATGTGTGTTGGGACTTCAGCTCATGAGTTGTGGTCACAATAATGTCCTCTTTTTAATCTTAAATAAGAACAGTCATACTTTACCATAATGGGAAGTAAATTAAACTTGGGCCTGTGGACTGGTTACAGAGAATGGTAATACACCCCATTTTCTAAGTAATGTTAGACATGCTGTGTTAGTTCATGGTTCGCTCTTATAGTAGATAATTACAAGTTTTATTGTTTGTGAGAAGTTAATTAAGGCATATGTCTGAAAGGATAGGAGAGCTCTCTTGGACCCTTGCATCAACATTGACACGCCTGTGGAGTACATTTTAGATCTGTGTGCAACCAAGTATACCCAAACGACAGTGGATTGACTGTTATCCTACACAGCTGGACCTCCTCATGAATTGACAGTCTAAGATAAAGCAAGCATTGTTTTTTCCTTTCTTCTCATATGCTTATATTAGTTTTGTAAGAGTTGGACTCGTGAAATGTATAGTCTTACCTAACTGCATATGTTAATGCTTCCTTGTTATAATGCTGAGAATCTGACCGGCCCCTTCATAATAATTGATTCTGTGTATAATGCTGTAACAGCTGTAACTTCTACCTAGTATTATCTTAAGCACATGTGTAGATATGTACTTTAGAAATGTCGTATTTTCTAACATCTAAACTCCTATGCTCTTTTTTGGTGATAAGGCACATTATAGGGAAAATCCTATTTTGTTAAAGGTAAATGTCCTCCACAGTTGTCTATGTCACAGAGATGTTGACAAGAGAGGCCATGGGAACTTTTTATATAGTCTGTCATTTTTAAATTTTTTTTAAAGGGACTCTCAAGGCTGACAGTCCCTAAAAGTAGTCAATCTCACAATATCTTTAAAAATACCATTTTTTTTCTTTTATAAAAATTTCTTCTGACACTTAAAATTATCAACCTTTCCAAAATCAGGGCTGCATTATGGATACAAGTGTGGTAACCCATTATATATGAACCCAGAGGGCTGTGTTCTGAAGTGCAGGGTTCATGTATATTTAAAGCCCTTTCCAACTTCCAAGAATAAAGCTGTCCATGAGAGCTGAGGGGATGGCACAATGCACCCACAAAATCTGCTTCCCTGCAAACCAAAACAAAGCTGGTGGATCTTACTGATGTCATTTATGAAAGTAGTGGTAGCCTGTCTGTCTTTAGTGCTGGACAAAACTTTTCCTATTATTTCAAAGCAATTTTGAATGTGACTACAAGTGTTGAAAATTTTGTCTTTGTCTATATAGTTGTTTGCAGGTTCTGTAGAGTACTCTTTTTCCTGTCTAAAAAAGAGTTAATATATTGTGATTGGGGCTAGGTTACTTATTATAAGACGATGCTAGAAACTAAGACTTTCAAGATTACTCCTGTGAATGTTTTATTTTGGGGTCAATTAATTCTGTACTGAAGATTTCGAGACACTTACCAAGTTTTTGGCAGGTCACAGGAAGGAAAAAAAGAGAACAGAACAGATTCATTGCTTGGTTTTGAAATAATCTCTTCCCTAAACTACATTACAAATAATAATAGGTTTCCCTCTCATATAAAGCAAACTGATTTCTGAAAAACCTTTAATTGTTAGGTGCATTATGGGACTGGACTAGGTGACCTCTCGAGGTCCCTTCCAGTCCTATGATTCTATAATTCAGCACTCAGATTGTATGTGATCAAGAGGAGAGTTCAACAGAAACCATTGACGTCTACAGTTTGTTCCTCAGCACGATCAATCAACAGAGCAAACTCTACAGATGGCAGATGCAGTACAAGATGACAACGACTCAAGGATTCCAGACAGCCAGTCATTGTAACTAACGGACAGCCAAATGAACAAGTTCTTATGCAACTAGGTCATGTAATTAGAAAACCAATACCATTCAGAGACACTTATCAGACAAATTTTAGAGTAGCAGCCATGTTAGTCTGTATTCGCAAAAAAAAAGGAGTACTTGTGGTACCTTAGAGACTAACAAATTTATTTGAGCATAAGCTTTCATCTGAATGCATCCGATGAAGTGAGCTGTAGCTCACGAAAGCTTATGCTTAAATAAATTTGTTAGTCTCTAAGGTACCACAAGTACTCCTTTTCTTTAACAGACAAAGACAGTGTGATAGCATAAATACTGTAAATGATAGGAATGTAGAACTTAAAGGGGGAGATATAACAGAATGCTAAAGTTTATTATACTGTTCTGCCACTTGGTGGCACTGTGTGAAATACCGTCTTTAAGCTAACCTCAGTCATAGCTGGCAAAGCATTAAAGGATCTTATGATACGCACTAGATGTGTTCGTCTCGCTGAGAAGCAAGCTGGGTAGTTAGTCCACGTCTGGTACAGGAGCATAACAGGGATATCAATGGCTAAGTCCTTTCTACAAAATGCAGTCACCATTACTACCATTGGTGGTGGATGCTGCTAGTGTAAACAAGCCCCCTACTGTATTCTGTTCATGAATAATCTCTCTGCACCCTTCCTTTCTGTCCTGCTGTCTGTGTACGTTTCTTGGATTGTAAACTCTTCGGGCAGAAAATGGGTTTAATTCTATACTTTGTAAATTGGCAGTATACACATGATCTCCAAATTTTCATTTAATATTGTATGACTATGGAACTATTTCATGCTCCCAATTATAGCTTCTTTTAGTGATCAGAATTATATCTTTGAGAGTCCAGACACAGTTGGATGAGAGAGCTGAAAATATTTAAAATTGCCTCATTGCATCTAACATCAACAGGACTTCCCTGGTGGCTGTACTTTTCTGGTATTCTGGTATTGTATTTTTCTTAAGGGAAGGTAATTAAGCAAACCCAAAGATCCAGAACTTTTTTTAATCGAATATCAAAAGAGAAGGGAGGGCAATTGAAACATTTTTTTCATTGTAATCGTTCCTCAAATGGAAACTTAAACACATTACATGTAGAAAACATGCCTCCCTTTAAACCATTGCCTCTTGTGTGAGTCAGACCCATATTTTGTACAGAAATCATTTAAACCATTTTCTTCATGTTCATCTCTCACTACTTCTGAGTGTCTTACTGAAAATTAATTAAACCAGAGATTTAAACAGATACTTTTTTCACAAGCAATGTGTGTGTCTCAGCTGCACTTTCAGAATCAGAATTTTATGTGTATGTATATATTTAGTGGGGTGCTGAGTACAAAAGCACTGATACATGTTCCTTTCACATTATGTAAACGTAACTTTGTTTCTTTTGCCTTTAGGAAAGGTTGTTTGTCAGTGAAGAAAATGTTGATGAATTTCTGGATAGTGTCTTGTGCCCTTCATTCCTCAAACAGACAACACTGGAAAGCCAACCATTAATTGAAGTACTTGATGTTACGGAGGTCAAAAGTCAAATCAGATTAAAGGTAAGGATCTGCTTAGCAATCATACATGGCACTTCTATAGTTAAACAAGAATAGTGTGTGAAACCTCCCTCAAATGGAGTCATTCCTGCTTTGTTTGGATACTACTGAAAATCATGTATAGGAAGTGATGTTTGCAAGTGTAAACATGAGTTTTTGGAAAGGCCGATTTACTTTAAACTCCATTTAATTTAACTTGAATGGTGAAGTGGAACTACGTACAGTTCTGGCTTGGCAACAGTTTTATTGGGATGACAGTGAAACATTGTGTTGTCTCATGTATAAATACCTATATGTTAAATCCCTCCTTCATATTAAAACAAAAATAGTCTCAGATTTCTACCTCAGTAGTGTTCAGGGGATACAGATACCCAGAAAGTGCTTCCAGTTCACAGCCACTTGGCTGTGCTGGAGTCTACACGCTCCAGACAAACCAGGGGTAGGGACGTCATTGGAATAGAACCAGTCTGAGGCCTTGTCAACACTGCAGAGTTTTGGTGGCAAACAGCAGAAGTGTACACACTGTGAAGCCACTTTTGGTGACAAAACTCTTCTGTTTTTTGGTGACAAAAAACCACCTCGATGAGAGACATAGGGCTTTTTGCATTATGCAAATTTGCATCATTATGTCAACATAATTGGCCTCCCCAAGTATCACACATTATGACTGCTGTGACAGCTTGGCTCTGCTCGCTGTTTTCAACTTGGCTGCCCTGCAGGCATGCGCCTCTCCCCTTTCAAGGCTCCAGGAAGCTTTGACATTCCTCGCCCTGGAGAGCTCACCCAGCTGCTGAGGAGGCTGTGGGAGAGAGAGCTCAAGGGAACTGCAGAACTGCAGGTAGGCAAAGCAGGCTGCTGCTGTGGGGGAGGGGGGAGCGAGAGAGACTGTTGTGGATTGATTGCTCAGGCTGCTGTCTGAACATAGAGACAGCATGCCATCACACTCCTCCCCAACACACGCACTTCCCCTGCACGCACGCACGCACTCTCACACACACACACCTCTTCCTCCTCCACATACACTTCAGTTGAAAAACAGCTGGCAATCTAGTGGGATGCCCAGGGAACAATGGGATTGAGAAACCTGCACCATGTGACACTGTACTTACCCCATGAGGCATTGCAAACCCTTCCCAAAGCACCATGCAACCAATTGCACAGTGGGATAGCTACCCACAGTGCACTGCTCTGTGTGTCAATGCAAGAGCTGCTAGTGTGGATGGGCTCTGCCAACACAAGGAGCATAGTGTGGATATGCAACAGTGGGTAATTAAAGCGGCATAACTTTTGTTGACAAAACTCTGCAGTGTAGACAAGACCTAACTCTCCAACTCTTCTTTAAGGATGTGCTCAATATGAATAAGTGAAGAGTCCATGTCCCTCCATATACACAATTTTGAGTAAAGTTTTGGAACCCTGTGGATATAGTGTACAGTATTTCAGTGGTTCTCAACCAATATCTAGATGAGTTGATGTACCCCCTGGCCTGGGGGTACATGGGTCTTCCAAGGGGTACATCAACTCATCGAGATATTTGCCTAGTTTTACAACAGTCTACATAAAAAGCGCTAGAGAAGTCAGTACAAACTAAAATTTCATACGTTGACTTGTTTATACTGCTCTATATGCTATACATTGAAATGTAAGTACAATATTTATATGCCTATTTATAATTATATGGCAAAAATGAGAAAGTAAGCAATTGTTCAGTAATAGTGTGCTGTATTTTGTATTTTTATGTCTGATTTTGTAAGCAAGTAGTTTTTAAGTGAGGTGAAACTTTGGGGTACTTAAGATAAATCAGAGTCCTGAAAGGTGTACAGTAGTCTGGAAAAGTTGAGAACCACTGGCATACTCCATTGGGTTGAGGTACCTCTGATTTAAAATCTTTCATGCTTATAGATGCGGCTCAAGACAGAAGGCCCAAAATTTATACTTTGGAATGTGGGGGTCACAGACGGGAGGCTTAGGGAGAGGACAGAAAACTCGTCGTTTTGGGGATTGCAGTGAGGATGGACTATGCTGAGATGGACAGGGAGGTCACAACAAAGAGGAGCAGTGGGACTGTCGGGAAGGTAGAGAGGGTACCTTGGAAAGTTTGTCTGGATAAAAATCTCAACTTCTTCTATTTGAGCTGAGCTAAATCTTTGAATCTTGTGAGTTTTCTGTGTCAGTTAGGGCATACTTGTGAGAGTACAGGGCTGTCGTCTACAGAAGAGCAGTGTGACTAGAGGATTAACATGGGACTGGGAGGCAGGACTTCATGAATTCTAATCCTACCACTGCCATTCATGTGGTGTCAGCTAACTGACTCTCCTCCCTCAGTTTTTCCATTAGTTCACAGGGTATCTGAGGGGTATAGTAAGCTTAAGCATTATCTCCATTTTATCAAACACAAAACTGTGGTACATAGGATAAGTAACTTGCCAGAAGTCCTACAAAAACTACATGGCAGTGTCAACCACAGGAAATCAAACTCTCCTTGCTCCTTGTCTCCTGCCTTACCCAGAAAACTATCCTTTCTGCCCCCTTCATTGTCTAAATACACGGAGGTACAGCCACACTTATAACCCCCCCCAAAATTAATTACATCTGAACCCTTTACAATAACTGAACAAGTTTGGAAAAAGCTTTCTCTGCTTTTTCAGTTTAACTTTGTCCATAGTAACTTTCACTGTTTCCCGTCTCTAGTGAATGTTTCCTCTCTTGTTTGTATGAAATTTTCAGAGTAATAGAGAGCACAACGTTTTTAAGATAGCAAAATGTGATGGTAAAACTACCAAAACTGATGGGGATTTGGGAAGGCATAGCACTTGAAACTTCTCTCTTTTTGAAACCCATTACATTACGTTTCAAGTTGACAGGGTCTGTTTAGGTCCCATCTACAACTGTATGTTGCAGCTCTAGCCAACACTTATATGCTAATCCAAAAACCGGTTTCAGAGTAACAGCCGTGTTAGTCTGTATTCGCAAAAAGAAAAGGAGGACTTGTGGCACCTTAGAGACTAACCAATTTATTTGAGCATAAGCTTTCGTGAACTACAGCTCACTTCATCGGATGCATACTGTGGAAACTGCAGAAGACATTATATGTCTTATTATGTTGTTATTATATTATATTATAATATTATATATAGTATTATATATATGTCTTCTGCAGTTTCCACAGTATGCATCCGATGAAGTGAGCTGTAGCTCACGAAAGCTCATGCTCAAATAAATTGGTTAGTCTCTAAGGTGCCACAAGTGCTCCTTTTCTTTAATCCAAAAACCAAAGTTCAGAAGTGGAATTTGGACTTTGATACTGAAGTAGCTGAGTAAAGAACTTACTTCAGGGCTAGTTGCTCCGCTGTTACTTCAGTTCACTCTTCTTTCAGTTAACTATGGTTAAACTATGAGAAGTTTTCCAGATTTCACTTTGCATCACATTGTGGTGTCCTCATTTGCATTTACATATTTTTGCATCGTTCCAAATTAGTCATGTTAAATATTTTGTCCCTCACTTTTGTAATTAATTCAATATTTAGCCATAGTTTAAGATGCATGTTTTGTGCAGATCTCAAAATAAGATATAGCCTTTTGCACATTCAGTTTGTTTGTGTCTAACAATAGATACTCCACAGTGGTACAGTCGGCCTAAATTCTGTGGCAAGGCTCCCTGATGAACGATATTGAATTGTCATTTGTGGCAGCTTCAAGTAATGTCAATAATAAGGTTTTAATTAAATAAATAGTCACTGTAGTAATCCCTTAACCTACTATTAATTTCAACAATTTGGCTTTACATTTTTTCAATTTTACTCCACCCTTAGTTTTCAGCATGCAGCAGAGTTGTGAAGTTCCAATATATCACTATTACCAGCCGGAGAGTGGGGTGGGAGGAGGTATTGTTTCATGGTCTCTGTGTATATAATGTCTTCTGCAGTTTCCACAGTATGCATCCGATGAAGTGAGCTGTAGCTCACGAAAGCTTATGCTCAAATAAATTGGTTAGTCTCTAAGGTGCCACAAGTCCTCCTTTTCTTTTTGCGAATACAGACTAACACGGCTGTTACTCTGAAACTTGTCATTATATCACTGCATTTCTAATCTATGAGTGCATTGTAGAAGTCTTTGGAGGAAAGCTGGAGATTTTGGACACTGAATAAACCAGGGGTTCTCAAACTGCACTGCACCCCCCCTTCTGACAACAAAAATTACTACATGACCCCAGGAGGGGGGACCAAAGCCTGAGCCTGCCCAAGCCCCGCTGCTGTAGGCAGAGGGGCCAAAGCCCAACCCTCACCGCTGCAGGCAGGGAGGCCAAAGCCCAAGCCCTGCCATTGAGGAGTGGGGGAAGGAGCGCAAAGCCTGAGCCCTACCACCCCAGGCAGGGAGGCCAAAGCCCAAGGGCTTCACCCCACATGAGGGGCCTGTAACCTGAGCCCCACCGCCCAGGGCTGAAGCCCTCGGGCCAAGCTTCAGCCCCGGGCCCCAGCAAGTCTAACACCAGCCCTGGCGACCCCATTAAAATGGGGTCCCGACCCAGTTTGAGAACCGCTGGGATAAACAGATTTGGCTTTTGGCACCAAGAAAGTGAGGGAGAGAGGGAAGGTAGTTTGGGGTGTTGGTACCCAAGAGATGGGTGAAGCTTTCGTCACTGCTAAGGGAATGAATCTTCTCTTACTTTCTTGTTCACACGGTGACAGTAACTCATCTGGGGGGTGGGGAGTAGACTAGAGAAGATTTGGAAGGGTAACAAATCTTGAAATTGCTAGTTCCCGGAGCTAGGCAGCTGCCTTTGTCAACATTAAGTCACTCCACCACAGCCAGCCACACCCTATTTATTAACAATGAATACACACCATGTAAAAGCTTCTGCTGAAATAACCAACAGCAAAAAAGTGAATGTGGATCTGTGGTATTCAGTCATCTGTTTCAGAGTGCTCACCTTAGTGAGATGAACAAGAACAGTTCTCTGACATTGTTTTATGTACACTCAAGAAGACAACACTGCATTAGTTAAACTTTCCACATGTGACAGGGACATAGTTTTCACAACCCTACAGGCTAGGAACATTTCCTCAAATGAAAGTTTATATTCTGGGGCCAATTTTGCAGCCATGGATTTATGCAAGGCTGTGTGTAATAACCCAACTGCAATCATTTGCTTTTTCTTCCACTATTAACTGTTGTACATCATTACCAATGGGCAGCTGTCCAGCAGCTCTTTCCCACCATAAGGTTTTACTCTGCTGTGGAAAGAGTCTCTATAATACACTCCCACATGCATTTTGATTACAGTATTGGGAAACCCTCAGCACAGGTCTGATTTAGCTTTCTGAAAGCACAGATTAACACAGATTGTAGATCTCATAGAAATAAATGCATCCTGAGTTATTCAGTGTCTAGGGCCTGCCATTGATCGTATTTTTGTGTGTTCAGTCAACATTAAGTGTTAGGGTATCAAAGTACAATTAATTTCCTGCTTTTTTTCCTCAACAGTCACAGGAGGTTAAACATTGTGAACTTGGTGAAAAAGAACAAAGAATTAACAATTCAGGAAGAGATCAAGTTGAAAAAGAGAACAGAAACTATTTAAAAACAAATATAGAAGCTAACCATATTGCAGCTGACACAGCTGGAGAACATGGTATGGAAACTGACATTACTACTGGATCTTTTACAACTGCTAAAACAATAGGAGTAGTAGATTGTAGTTCAGGCCATTGTTTGCAAGTTGAACCTATTGACACTAGTTTAGCAATTTCTGGGAAATCTCAGATAAATGAACCACAGTTAGAACTTGCTTTCACAACAGGCAAAAGTGCCACATCCTCGGACTGTGAAAAGCAAGAATTACTTCATTTGAAAGAGCAGGCAAAAATAAGAAGGGATGAAGAAGTCCTGTCTTCAGAGCCAGCAGAAGAGAACCAGCACCATTTGAACTGTAGACCAGTTTCTCCAATTATAAAGGAAATGAATATGCAAGATGGAAGTGTGCAAATTGTTAGAGATCATACAACACACGGTGCATTAATTTTTCAAAATTCTTTGTTGTATGAATTGGATTAAGTTATGTCAGTTAGGATTTTAATTGTAATGGTCAGTTTATTATCTGCAGTTCAGGCTTCTGTTTTTTTGGCATCGAAATCATTGCACGGAAAGCAGAAATCTGAACTTGAGTCTGACAACTTCAATAAGAGGAACCAATTTAATTGTTTTGTTTACAAGTCAATTTATGTTAATTTTGATTTTTTTACAGTTTTAACTTTCTTTAAAATAAAAATATTTTCATAAGAAATGTTCAATTGAGTAGAAATTAAAACATATAAACAGCAACAGTGGACTACTTTCCCTTCAAGGACTTGGATCTTGATTAGTTGTGTAATCTCTCTAATGTAATAAAGTTCTTATATATGTTTATCTACTGTGTTTTTGCAATGCTTCTCTCCAGATTTGCTATCTTTGTTCAACTTAATGACACACAATACCCATCATTTGAAGTAAATATTTGCCAATATTCATTTTGTGATGATTGTAGGGTTTTTTGGCAAATAACATTTTTCATTCCATGGAGAGACCTTAAAATAAATGTTTATACTGCTATCTTAGCCTACTACTTTCCTTCAGATACACAGTATCCAAATACACCATTTAACTAATTTGTTTCCTTGTTATCCAGTGCATCAAACCCTGCATTTCCCAACATCTCTGCATTTATTCATGTATAGTCATCTTCTAGTATGGAGTCAATTCATCTAAATTATTCTTACCACTCAAAATAAGTTTCCTGTGGTTTAAATGTGCTGCACGTCGGATTGCATGGCAGTGGAAGTGCAACAACAAGCAAGAACACTTCTGAGCTTTGATATCAAACTTTCAGATCCCTTTTCTGTCACTTTCAAAAAAACAACCACCCATTCCTTTACAAACTGTTGTACATGCTGAAGAAAATGTACTTCTGAACAAAATGAGGTTAAATTTGATTTACAGTTCAAATCTCCCACGGTTAGGTTGTTTACGTAGCTGTGCCAACCACAAGTACTTCTTGGGGCTGCATATACTTAACAGAGCAAGTACTGAATTTTATTGCTTGTGACAACTTTAAAATGTATATACTGTGTTGGTTCCAGGATATTAGAGAGACAAGGTGGGTAAGATAATAACTTTTATTGGACCAACTTCCTGTTGGTGAGAGACTTACACCAAGCTCCTCTTCAAATAAAATCTGAAGAACAGCTCTGCATAAGCAGCAAAGCTTCGCTCTCTCTCTCTCTCACCAACAGGAAGTTGGTTCAGTAAAAGATATTACCTCACCCACCTTATCTAACTCTAAAGTTTGACAGTTAAATTACCCAGGAGAACAATTTGTTTTGGCATACATTCTATTTTTTAAAAAGTAATAAACATCCACATATTGAGATGGCTTCATAACAGTTGTTTTGTTTCCTCTCCAGTGAATACATTTAAGCAATTTATTCACATACCATAAAGTAGGAGAGAAAATTAAGAACGGAGTTTTGTTGAAAGTTACGTCTCCTCTATCAGCACACAAGTTAACCAGTTTCATTGAGCAATAATTATTTTTAGACAGGAACAAAAGGCCACTGACCCTCTCTTATCCTAATACAAGTGCAGTAGAGTTTTCTTCAGGCTGAATGTAACAAATTTATCCAATCACTTTTTTTTATTAATGTCTGTAAGTCATCTAGCTACATGAAAGTACTTTTAGAATAATTCATGTCACCCCATTTTTAAAACCTTGGTTTGTATGTATTTGATATGGTTTATGGGGACTAGCTGATGTTTAGAGAGTGACTGCATTCCAGCTGTCACGTACATTCCCCCTCTATACTTTGTCTAAGTCGTTCAGTGAAATCTGTTTTAAGTCTATTCCACAAAACTTCTTTAACTAGTATTGACAAGTTTGTTGTACTTCAATGGTAAGTGACATTTTTAAAAAAAAAAATGCATCACTACAGTTAGAACAGACAAATGTTTCACTTTAACAAATGGCATTGTTTCGTATTGTTTCTGGCTTTCAGTTCCAGTTCAATATATGTTTTCATTAAACAGTACGTTTATTCTTTTTATATGGCTGACTAATTTGAAAGCTAAGTGTTGTGATTACTTTCTGCCGAAGGAGGTTAATATTGTGTTTCTCTGTTTTAACTCAATTACTGATTTTTTTAATGAAGTTAGATGTACGCTCTTTGAATGGGTAATGATGACATTTGGTGTATGTTTAAACCCCTTTTGTATTAGGAAAACTGAATTTTGTCATAGCAGGAAAGATTTAAACTAAACTAATGGTTTTGCAGAATCAAGGACTTTCATGGTATTACAAATGTGAATTTTATTTTGGCAGAACTAAAAAAAAAAGTATATTTCTACATTAAACTGAGCAATGATTTGTCCCTCTTCATATAATCAAATACATAGCAAATAAGAGAATGCTCTTGCAGATATGCACCAAATCTCAAGCAAGCCTAATAAAATAGTACAAGCTTGTGGAATGCTGAATGATTTTACTCTAATGTCACTGAATTTAAACAATAAGTAGTTATTTAAAACAGTACAGGGCTGCTGGACTGCAAACTGACTAGAGTTCAGTCAAGCTTATTCCATTCCACCCTTACTCTTCTCAGTACTTTGAGTATCATGGATTTGCTCATTTCAAAATGTATTTTACATGGAGTTTAAGAGATTCTGAAAGTGAAAAGCCCTATAATGTAATAGAGAAGATGCATTTTAATGTTGTTTATCCTTGTCAGTAAGCACAGCATAATGGCTACTTTCTGTATGTGGGCTTAAATTTTGATTTCCAGCTGATCTCAGCAGTAGAGTCTGTCCAATTTAAAAAAATCTAACTGGGAAACATGAAAGATTACTATTTTTAGACACCTTTTACAAGAATGTTTATTCATCTTAAAGCAGAAACCCTTTTATACACTTTTGTCCATAAGACAGTATGGAATAATTCACAAGAGAGGCTATTTGAGAGTTTGATTTTCACTGCAGTCTGCGATAACTTTTACAGAGTTCATGGTCTCGAATATCTCCCCACCCTCCGTTTTTCACGTGAGGGGAGAGAGGTGCCATGGAGTACCTTTTACTGACACTCATTGTTTCAGGAAACAGGAACTGTTGGTTGCTGCTTAAGAGCGAGTCGATTTTGGCACTCTGGGTGGAGGGTCTGCAGGATTTCTTGTGGTGCATGCCACAGTCCCCTGTATGAAAAACCCTGGGGATTTCGGGTACTAGCACTTTCCAGAACTTTGGAAGACAAGAGACAGTCAAATGCTGCAGCGTCCAGTCCCAGTTGTAGTCGTCGTACGTGCAGAAGGCATCCGTGCACTCGATCAGTTGCTGGTACGTGTCTCTGCTGAAGGCCATGCCCATGTTGTGCTCGGTGGACTTCCACGTCTTCATCTCCACCTTGTCGGCTTTGCCGGAGAAGCCACCCCGCACGACGTTGTAGCTGCCAAGGGAGAGGACCTGGCACTCCGGGCACTCCCGCTGCTTCAGCGCCCACAGCTGCTTGAGGACGTGGTAGAAGTCGGGGGCCAGGTAGTGATCCTCCTCCAGGAAGAGCACCAGCCCCGTGTGCTCCCGCAGCGCCCGGAGCCGCTCCCACACGAAGTGCAGCTTCCACCACCAGTGGTGCTTGGTCTGCGAGAACTGGGCCTCGCGGTAGTGGCCGAAGGAGTCCGGGAACTCGGCGTTGATGCAGCCCAGGCGCCGCGCCGCCTGCCGGTCGAGGTCGCGCGGGCAGTCGCGGGGGTCGTGGCCGGGGAACTCGCGCGGGTAGAGCTGGCTGCTGAAGGGGAAGAAGATCTGCAGCACCTGGCAGAACTCCACCTGCGCCGCCAGCCGGTTCAGCTCCTCCGACCACAGGTCGTGGCTCAGCACCAGCAGCGCGCGCTCCACGCCCGGGGCCCGGCGCAGCGAGTCCAGCAGCAGCCGCAGGTGCTCGGCCCGCTCGTGCACCTGCACCACCAGCACCAGCTCCAGCTCGCCGGGCGGGCGGCGGGGGAGGCGCGCCAGGTTGCGCACGGGCTGGTCGAAGTTGAGCTGGTAGAAGAGCGAGCGGTAGCCCAGCGTGCGGTTGGCCGGCTCGGCCCTGGGCGGCGGCGGCGGCGCCGAGGCGTTGGCGGCCCGGCGGCCGGCGGCGGAGGCGGCGAGCTCGGCCGCCCGGCTGGCGGCGCGGGGCGCGGGCGGCTCGCCGGGCTCGGGCTTGCGCGGGCGGCCGTGGCTGCCCCAGAGCGCCAGGCCGCAGGCGGCCACCAGCAGCGCCAGCAGCAGCACCTTGCGCTTGTAGATGCGGAGCCGCATGGTCCCGGGGCGGGGGGCGGAAGCGGGGCCTGCCGCTCGGCTCGGCTCGGCTCGGCCCGCCCCTAGCTCATCGCGGGCGCCGCGCTCCCCGCTCGCCCCAGGCGGCGGCGGCCAGACCGAGCCCGGAAGGGGGAGGAGACGCCCCGGGGCCGCCCCTCCGGCATCAGCGCCGCGGCCCTCCCGGAGCGCGGGGGCGCCCAGCCCGCGGCGCGCGCATGGCCCCGGCGGCGGCGGCACCTCGCGGCCCGGCGCGGAGGGAGGCGGACACCAACTGTCACGGCGGCGGCGGCGGCGGCCGGCGGCGCGCGCGCGCGATGCCCGGGCTGCGCCCCGCCCCCCACACCGGACACGTCCCCGGCCGCCATAGGGCACGCGCCGCACGTGGGCCCTGGACCATTGGTCAAACGCGCTGTCACTCAGCGCCCGCCCGCCCCCCCTTCCGCTGCCCGAGGGGCCGGTTGATATTGAGCGCGGCTCCGCCGGCCGAGCCCCGCGGAGAGGGGCGGGGCCGGTTCCCGTGGCGGGGGGAGGGGGAAGCGTGGCCCAGTCTGGGCCGGGCCTGTCCTGTCCCGTCCCGGGGGCCGGGGTCTGTTCCGGGGCCTGTCCCGGGGCGGGGGCCGGGGGGACGCGGGGCCTGTGTCCCGGGGGCCGGGGTCTGTTCCGGGGCCTGTCGCGGGGCGGGGGCCGGGGGGACGCGGGGCCTGTCCCGGGGCGGGGGCCGGGGGGGCGCGGGGCCTGTCCCGGGGGCGCGGGGGCCGGGGCCGAGCGGCAGCTGGCCGGGGACGCAGCCGTGTCGGTGTCGCTGGCTGCTCCGGGCAGAGCCTCCAGCGGTCCCTGGGGACGGGCTGAGCGCCCCCCTCCCCGATTGTGGGCAGCCCGGGCCGCCGCCCCCTGCCCTGTCCCCGTGTCTGGAAAGGGACGCGAGCGCCGGGCTGGGCCTGCGGACGGCCCCCGGCCCGTGTCGGGCCAGCCGCCCCGGAGTCTCCGCCGGCCCCGGGGCCGCAGCGCGGAGCTGCGGTTGCCCAAGACCGGTGCGGCGCCGGGGGCCGCTGATCAGTGTGTGTAACCGGGGTCGACGAGCCCCGCGTCCGCTGCTCTGCGAGCCCAGCCGGGCCTGCAGCCCCGAGGCCGCTGGCACCCCGCACACCCTGCCCAGCCTGGGCGCCGGGGCGGGGTCTTTGTGTCCTCCGGTGAGGAGCGCCATCTGTGCCCTTCCCTACAACGTACCCCCGCCCTCCTTCCACAGGGCCCAGAGAGGAGGGCTTAGCTTCCCCTCCTTCGCGCTACCTCCCGCGGCGGGGAAGGAGCATCAGCCCGCTGCCCTGCTCTTCCTCAAGGAAAGGGGAGGTCAGAACAGGAGAGAAAAGAAAAGAAGTGGGTCAGAGCTGTGCAGTGAGGGATGCGGGAGTCAGCTCTGCCTCCTCAAACCTCTCCCTTTCTGTCCAAATATGTCCCCACAGTGCTGAGAGCTGGATGGGGAGGTGGGAATGAACAGATTCAGTGCATGGGGCAGGCCGAGGTGGGGGGAGGAGCTAAGAACAGGCATGCTTGTTGCAGGGCCCAGGCTTACAAAGCAGAGACCCAGGTGAGCCGTGAAATCAGGATGTTTGATATATGGCCCTGAGAGTGCAGTTGGGAGGTGCGAACCAGCAGGTGCAAAATACACAGGCCTGGTCTACACCTACAACTTAGGCCAACCTAGCTACCGTGCGCACCCCTGAAAGAGGTAGGGTACCTCTAGGGTCCTGCAGCACAGCTATGCTTCTCTACTATAGATGCTCCTTCCTCCACTGATGAAAGGGTTTTTTCATTGCTGTAGTTAATCCACCTCTCTGGCAGGCAGTGGTTAGGTTGACAGGAGAATTCTTCTCTCAGCCTAGCTACAGCTACAGCAAGGGGTAGGTTGACTTAACTATGGCACTTAGGGAGTGAAACTTTTCACAGCCCTAAACAACATAGCGAGGTCAATCCAGTTATTAGATGTAGATCAGGCCATAGTTAAGCTGACATAGGCCCCAGTATAGATACCACTAAGGTGATGGAAGAATTCTTCCGTCAACCTAGCTGCCACCTCTTGAGGGTGTAGATTTACTACAGTGACACAAATCTTTTCCAGCACAGTACCAAGTGTCTCTGCTACAGTAGCATAGCTGCAATTGTGCTGCTATAGTGTAGACATAGCCACAGTGTTGAGAGCAGGCATACTCCATGCACATAATAGGCCCACAATTGTTATAATTGCAGGAGTTGGGGCAGAAGGGAATGAGAACACTCAGTGAGATGGTTGGAGCTGAACCCTGCTCAGACCTATTGTTTCAGGCTGCATTCATCTCCCTGGGGCTTCTCCAGCTGAGAAGAGCACACTGAGATGAATGGACCACTTCACAGCTCTCTGAGTTCCCTATACTGCTACGAGTCGGCTGAAGATGGGAAAGGAAGGAGGTGGGAGGTTTCCCACGATCTCTCCCTTCCAATGGCCCCTGAACCTTCTGATTCTAACCTTCCATGCCTGGTAGGAGATCACCTCAGGCATTCTCATAGGAACATCAGAACGGCCGTACTGGGTCAGACCAAAGGTCCACCTAGCCCAATATTCTGTCTTCCGACAGTGGCCAATGCCAGGTGCTTCAGAGGGAATGAACAGAACAGGTCATCAATCTCATTGCTCTTTCAATAGCAGTGGAGAGGAAAATCACAGCACCCATGTGTTTGGTAGGGTTAAATGGTAGCCATTTAACCCTACCAAATTCACAGTCCATTTTGGTCAATGTCACGGTCCTAGGAATTTAAAAATAATGCATTTCATGATTTCAGATATTTAAATCTTAAATTTCCCAGTATTGTAATTTTAGGGGTCCTGACCTGAAAAGGAGTCGTGTAGGTGGGTTGCAAGGTTATTGTAGGGGGGGTTGCGGTTCTGCTACCCTTCCTTCTGCGCTGCTGCTGGCAGCAGTGCTGCCTTCAGAGCTGGGCAATGGAAGAGCGATGGCTGCTGGCCCCGGGAGCCCAGCTCTGCAGGCAGCGCAGAAGCAAGGGTGGCAATACCACGAGCCACCTAAAATAAGCTTGTGACCCCCCCTGCAACTCCCTTTTGAGTCAGGACCCCCAGTTTGAGAAATGTTGGTCTCCCCCATGAAATCTCTATTGTATAGGGTAAAAGCACACAGAAGACCAGATTTCATGGTGGGAGACCAGATTTCACAGTCCGTGACGTGTTTTTCATGGCCACGAATTTGATAGGGCCCTACATATAACATAATATTGTAATTCGTAATATGTCCTTATTAGCCACAAACAAACATAGCAGCTACCTGAGAGCTCCTCAGTTAATGAGATGTACATGCTCTGGGACAGTGTACAGCTGAGCACTACGCATGGAAATCACACTGTTAAATTTATCTGCAATTATCAAAATGGTAAAAGGCACTCTGATGGAAAGCAAGGGTAATAGGAAATCTGAGAAGGAATTTACAAGGATGGGCCTGAAATATTTCTCAGGCCTGGTCTATACAAGTTGACTTGTGTTGACCTAGTTGTGCACGTCTACACCAAAGTTTGTCTCCTGCTGACATAAGTACCTTATTACAGCAACACACCACCACCACCTCCCCAAGCGACTCAGAGCCGTGGTTTAACTACTTAGGTCAATGCAGTGAGAGTACAGACACAGCATTACTGAGTCAACCCTGACAGTCCTGCAGCAGTTGTCCCACAGTGCCCATCTCCATGACAGTGGCTGCTTCAGTCACAGCCTTGAATTTCACTGGGTTGCAGACACTCTCCCCACACTCCTCCCTGCCTTTTTAAAAATCATGTTTTATCTATGCCTCTTCCTGAATGCCCACCTTGGCCAGCTCACCTTTGTTGCGTGCATCTGACCAGAGTGCCCCCCGCCCCCCAGCTGCTAGGAGCAGGCAAGATGTCTTCTCCCCATAGCCCAAGAGAATCCAAGAGGCTGTACAAGCCCAGCTACAGAACAGCCATAGAAACACAGACATCTACGTACAGATTGCACAGGGGACGGTGAAATGGGAGTACAACACAGAGGGGCAGCAGTGCTATATACAAGCCAAGGAAATTCTCCAGGGATACCAGAAGGTGAGGGAGGGCAGCTAGAAATCTGGTGCAGCTCTGCAGACCTGCCATTTTTACTGCAAACTGCAGGCCATACTTGGCAGTGACCCCACCAGAAGCCAGCAGATGACTGTGAACAGTTCACAGGAGCCGGATACAGAGTCCCGTGCTGTGAATAGTAAGGAAGAGGGGGAAGAAGCAGCAGGGAACTCAAATCATGCCACAAGCCAGCTGCTTGAAACTCCATCAAGTCATGCCAGTCCCACCAGCTGAGCACAGATGATACCACTGGTGAAGAGGAAGGGAGCTCAGGCAAGCATGTGCATGCTTTCATACATTTTTTTCTTTTGGTTGCCCAAAACTTCACCACCCTTCCTCTGCTAACAATTTTCCCCATTTACAACTGGCACCCATCCATCCGCATGTGCACAGAACAAAGCCACTGACTTCTGATTGCTTACTTTACTGGTATTATGTTAGAAAATAAAACAATAGGGAATAAATTCAAAGAAATTAGTAGGGAAATCTGATCACACAATCCCCAGCAGATCAGTGTCCTGTGCTCAGGTAGAGGTAGAACAGAGAGGTAGAGGTGGCATCTGCTTTTCAGTTCTTTTGGCGTGTTAAGCTAGGCAGGGGAGGCCATCTAGAGTAGTTTGTTAATCTGAATAGGGATGTCCCTTTTATCCTCTTGAAAGCTCTTGATGAAACTTTCATGGAGATACTCTGCAAAACTCTCCCGAAGATTTCTAGGGATGGCAATCTTGTATCTTCCACTGCCAAAGAAGACTTTCCCATGGCACTCTGGCACCGTTGCAGTTAACAGCTGGCAGCATATAGGCCCGGCTGGCTTGGGGACATCAGTAGCAGCTGGGATCTCTGAGCCTGCGTCACCCGCAGGAGGGAGATAATGCCAAAAGCACCATTGCCTGTGAAAGTATTCCCACTATTTATTGAACTCTCTCTAAACCCACAGATGGGGATGGGCACTCAGCATTTAAAGCTTCAACTCCACAGAACAGCCCTCCGCCCTGCTAGGCTAGGCCACCTTCACCATAGTTTGAGCTGCAGAGCTCCTGTAGTGAGGCACTCCAATGTTAAAGTGACAATTCTCATTTCTGATTAAAGATATTGATGGGAATAATTTAAGGGAGTTTTGAGACTTCTCTCTCCCTTTTTGTTGTGACTGAAATATCTAATGGTGCATCTGTCTGTTTTAATCAGCAGCCTCTAGTGGGGTGGCCTAGAGAGATGCACCCAGCACACCTACTGAATGTCTGACGGTGATCAAGATGACAAGATGAGGACTACAGAAGATATGTGCACTCCACAGCCTCCGACTGTGAACACAGGGCTTTGAGGGGCCATATGATTGTGACCATGGACAAGGATCAAGAACGAGGAACACAGGACTTGGAAAGGAAAAAGGACTGAGATGCAGACTGGGAAATAAGCCAGGACATCATGGGTTTGCTCAGGCCACAAACTCAGATGTTGCAGAGAATTACTGACCTACACGCCCAAGGACCCCAGACTCAGCAGCCTTTCCAATCATTGGAGAACTCCATAGTCGATGCTCCCTACACCCCTCAATATCCCCACCCTACTACTCCATACCAGGGGAGAAGGAGAACTAGAGCTACTCATACCAACTGGTGAAAACCACAGGCAGGTGCATGTGTAGCCCCGGCTACTCCATTGTAATGGGTTTTACATAGATGAGGAGGTGTTCACTGTTTAAAACCCCAAGCAAAAATGGAAGTGAAGTATGGTTCACCCTGTTACAGTGTTAGTAAAATGTTTTTAACCTTGAGTTAGTTTGCTCTTAATTTTGTTGCCCATTTCTTTGCACTCAAAGTTCTATTTCTGAAAACTCTGAATATCTTTATGAGTTTACCCCTACCTAGCATTACAGAATTCAGAGTGGGAGGCAAAGACCCATCCATATTTAATCTCACAAGACACTCTGCAACTGCTGAGCAGATAGTTGAATCTTTCTTTGGGGCTGTCCAGCTGCTCACTGTACGGTTTCACAAGACAGGGAAGCAAGGGGTAGGCTGGGTCACCCAGAATCACTACAGGCATTTCAACATCGCCAGTGGTAATCTGCCGGTCAGGAAAGCATTCCAAAACCTACAAGCTGGGACAAAGTCCTGTGTTCTTAAAGATGCGAGCATCATGCACCTTCCCTGATGAACCCACATCAATATGAGTGAAGCATCCCGATGATCTACAAGCATTTGCATAGATATGGCAAAGTAGCTCTGTCTGTTGGTCTGCACAGTAGCAAGATGGGCTGCTGGCAGAATACAGATGTGTGTATGTGGTCTATTGTCCCATTGCAGTTCAGGTTGCTGAAAATCCATCCATTATTTTCTATATACAACCCAGAGTCATGGTCCTGTGTAGCATAAGACACAACCTCCCTACACTCATGGATGGCAATGGCCCCCCACTGTGGATTTTCCATTTCCAAACTGATTGCCTACAGCAATTCGGCATTGCGAGCTCCCAGAGCATAATTGTCTCCACTTGCAGTGCAGCTTTCATTTTGGTGTCACTGCACTGGATGGCTCAGACCTGCCTTACAATGCAATCCCCCCTATCAGTCCTCATTTCTTGGGCCTAGGAACAGCAATCCACCCTGTGGAGCAGCACCCTGGCTCCCCACCCCTCCAACACAGTGTGTCCCTCAGCATCCAGTACATCTCTGCCTCTTTCTCATTGCAATACTGGTTGTAGTATTACTCATTCAAGCCCTGAAAATACAGGAGAATTGTGCATCCTGTATTAGCAGTGGCCATCCTGTAATTGCAATGGCCACCCCACTGATCTCTTCAGGGCCCATATATCTGCCAGAGAGATGGTAAAGACCAAAAAGCAGCAAGAGGGACTGAGAGTTTAAAAAAAATAGAATAAAAAAGGTGCACAAATTATGGAATGTGGAAAGCATTATGGGATGGAGAAAGTGGCATGGTGGGAGCTTGACCCCTAAATCCCTTGGTAAAGTGCTGGTATCCCACAAGACATTGAGCAGGACAATGGCACGCTGCATTCTACTTCAATGCAGGCACTCGTGGTATGTGCACCAATGCAAGCTCCCAAGTGTGCGTGAGTCAAACTGATACATAAAAGGCATACACAAAAGTTGACATAATTTGCGTTGACCAAACGTTGTAGCGTAGGCGTGGCTGTAAAACTAGCTAAAAGGTAGTTTGTGGCAAACGGATCTAGAGCTTTCCTCCCTGATGGAATTCAGTGACAATATTTAAAAGTAACACCTGGAGACTACATTCTGCCACTGCTTTAAAGTAGTTATGTTGGTAGTAGGATAATGCCCCATGCAGCATGCTCCTTTGAGGGTTAAATATCCCTTCCCTCTTCACACACAATTGCATAGATGGCTGGAGCATTCTAGCACCACTTTGTGGTTACAGAAGGGAATTTCTGTTTTAGTGCAAGCTATGCTTCACATAAGTTTATAAACCTAATAACAAAATGAAGACTTTAGTTGCAGACAAACCTAATCCAGATGTTTGTCAGGATTTTATTTCACCACCTTTACTAGCATTATCTATCACTGCTACTGTTGCACAAAAGCACTGCTCTCACATTTCACCTAGAAGCTGGTGTAAGTTTCTTATTGTAGTTCTCCATCTTTCCATGCTGGAAGTGCTGCATTTCATCACTGCTCTCCCTCAGATGATCAGTTTCCCTGGTTTTCTTTATATTCCTCTGGTCCTGAAGTGAATCTCTATCCTTGCAATTTAGAGCAGACATACACTACCCTCAATTTTGTGGCAGATTGCTGCTGCCTAGTCACAGCCTCTGTGCAATGTGGTATTTACAGTTTTACAGGTACAGTTGTTTGTAGTTATTGTATCAGAGGGTATTTGAACAGCATGGTTTATTTCCATATTTGTAAATGCTTTGTGGCTAAATGAAGACAAACCAATCAGGCTACCTATTAGCAATCTTAAATTCAAATTGTAGATTATTTCTGTAAATTTTATGGGGTGCGGTGAGGATAAACACATTAAAGATTATGAGGCACTCGGATATTACAATAATGGATACCAGGAGTACAATAGCGCTAGGCTAATTTTATCAAGTAAATCCACTTAAAAGGTAGCCGATAGTTAAGTGCCCTTGAAAGTTAGGCTATGTAAAACTGCAGTGTTAGTTAAGTTTGTTTATTTTTTTAAGGTACAAGGCTAAATGTGAGGTACTAATTACATTTCAAAGAAGTCTCATGTTTGAGAATCCTTAACTTCAAAATGATTTGACCAATTGCTTTCACATTTGCAAAAGAGATTCCAGTCTATTCAGAGTAAATCCCAACATAGTTTCCCCGTGCAAAGTTATAGGGATTTATAATGGAATTCTGGTCACAAGATTAACTAAGGAGCTTCTGCAGACTGTTTCCATGTTTGGGATAAATTTTAATATCTGTAACTCCAAAACAGCTTGACCAAGTTTCTTCATAGTATTAAAAAGGTTTCCTTAGCTTTAAGCATACACCTGGCAATTTTCAAGTCAAAAGTTAAAAAGGACTTGGGCTAAAAGTATTGGAGCACCATAATTGTAAGAGAGAAGTTGGTCTCTCCATAACATATCAAAATAAGTCAACTCACCCAATGTGTTCAGGTTGGATCACGTAGTGTATTTCATGGAATATTCTGATATGTAATCAAAGAACATACAAATGAAAATAAGTCTTCATAGGAAGTTCTCCCAGAATCACATTAAATAAAAATGCAAGTGACTTCTATGAGAACGCAGAAGTTTTTCACCTATTCATGTCTTCCCTTTGGGAAGTCCTTCATGTGCTTCATGGTCACTAAGCGAACTGGTCAAATGACATGGACTCAAATGCCAGCAATACACAGGTGACACTCAGCTCTACCTACTCTTCACTACATATGACCATATCACTACCACCACCATGGCCCAGTGCTTGGATGAGATCAGTTCATGAATAAAGAACAGCTGGCTGAAGCTGAACCCAAGCAACGCAGAGGTGGTGCTGGTGGCAAGAGGAATGGACTTTGGAGTTGCAGTCTCCTTTGGTTGAAGGTTGGAGCTTCTGAGCAATCAAGCCACAGACAAGACATGAATTAGCAGTGTGGAAGCTCTCTAAACATTTCAATATCTTGGTCAAGATAAGAGACTGGGACTAGTGACCGGAAAGCATTAGATGATCATAACGGACAAGTGCAATTGTAACACAAAGCAACATTTGTATAAATTCACATGTGCAAGAAAAAGAATTTCACCATTTAATAATTGAAGTAATCACATAATGAACATCCCAAGAACCTTAAAAATTTGCATGATGCTTAGAAATAGTAAACAATTTAGGTTGTGAATGTGAAGCTGTCATTTCTCTCTCATATGACAGTTATAAAAACACACAAACATTTGTTCAGATAAAAATATCATAATACTGTTTCCTGTTTGAGGTGAGCACCCTATACATGGAATTGTTTATGGAACCGAAAATACCTGAAGAGTGTTTTAGAACTAGTCATGCTCTTTGGCAGCAGAATACTTTGTTGTTCCGCAATAAACTAGCGAGTGAATAGACATAGGACTCCTGCTCGCTGGCAGGAAAGGCACCACACTGTGCTCTTACAAAGGAGAATAGGAGATTCTGGACTAGGAAAAAAGTCTAGTACTCTCTAACTGATAGAATTCAGAGCATCAAGCAAGGGAGGGTGTACAAGATTGACAACAGAAACAAGCAGAAATTCACCCAACTCTCTCCTTCTGGCAAGGAGAGGTCACCTAATCCATTTAAAAAAAAAAAGCATAAAGAGAAAAAATAATGAAGCTTTGGAGAATGTTACAGCCATATAAGCAAGCTAAAATACATTCTTACTAAGAAGATTCAAGTTGGGAGCGATCTCTCTCTCTGCACTAAAGTGATAGCTACTTAAGATTAAAGAAACTTCAAAGCACAGATACACCACATCAGGCTTACGGTGAGAAGGCTTTGTAAGTTTGACATTATTAACTATTTGTAGTGCACATTCAATGGTTTGTCTCCATTTCATAATAGCAAACAAGGACAGCCAAGCAACATTTGATTTCAGAGTCCTCCATCACTGGATGAAACTTCCCACAACAGTGCCTTTGCTGTCCCTTAAGGTCACCTATTACTCTGCAGATATCTATCTAGAAACTGGGAATAACAAGTTAGAGAGCAAAAATAACAGACAATGGGTGCCTCTGTACCTCCCATGTTATCTACAAGGACCACAGTATGAGCTACGTGGTGGAGATTCATGGTCACTGTTGTCTGAATGAAGCAGCTTAGACAGGCACTTCCACATTGACATGTTTTAGCTACTTCCAGATCTTCACAGAGGTGAGAAGGAAGGAGATGACGACTGTAAGGGATTCTGTTGAAAAAGATGAGTTTGTGTGAACATACTGCAACATTAACCAATACCAGTCAAATTTAGTGATTGACACATGCATTGCTAACAATTGTGCCATGAGATAACCCTTTATAAGAGGAAATAAACATAATTCAAGTCTGAAAGACCTGTTCATCATCTGCAATGACAGACTAGCGTTACAGCCAAGAGGGAAGTAAATAAATTGCAACCATGTTCCTGGTTGCTTTGTTAAGAATCAGGAACCTGGATCAAGACAGACAGTGAAAAAGAGCCAGAGGGCCATGCTGGTTATAAAAAAAATCATTACAGTGCTAGGACAGATGCAGGGAGAAAAGAAGAGGGGCAACAAAAATTTAGCCACCACACCACACATTTGCCCTCCCCCCCCACCGGTCAGCAAGGTCTCTGT